AACAAAACTTTGAAGCTTTACCAGACATCAATTCTGAAGCATCATAATGTCAGAGTTTCGTACCTTGGTTAGAGCTCTGGTAATCCAGCTTCCTGCCACTTTTTCTGCTGTGCTCAGCCGATGGACTTTTCTTCTTGAGGGACTTCTTGTGAGACAGTCTCGGAGGCATGGGCATGGATTCCTTTTCCTCGGCACTCAGCTCTGGGGTGACAAGGTCAATGTGTCTGCGACAAGGAAATCAACAAAGGGTATACTTCTCTTGAGAAGTATTTTGAATATCGAAAAAGTAGAGTCAGATGCTAAAGGTGAGTTTTGAAGGGGTACAAATTCCAAGCCTGGCATAAAACCTCAAATCTACCAATAAAGCCCCACTTTTATTTTATCTATTTTTCCCAGGAATATCAATTTTTCTTCTTTTTGAAGAACTTTGAGCACTTTTGGAGGGATTCTGTCAAATTCAGTGAGACCTCTACGTACTTTCCCAGATTTTCGTACTTTCCCAGATTTTCGTACTTTCCCAAATTTTAAGTTTCTTTTTCTTTGAAATTTTTTGGAAGCCAGGCCTGTAAATGTGTAGAATGTTCAGTCACTTTTGATACATGTATAATCTGCTCCAAGCGAAGCAAAAGAGGGTGTTATTTTTTGTACTATTCACATAGGCGCGCCATGAGGCGTGCAAGTATATGCACGTTTGACGCTGCGTACGCGTGACTAATTTTTTCCGGCTTGTATGGTCTTTGCGTACACGCAGACAGAGCACGTGCAAGAACCCGCTTGTAACCACCTGTCTTTCTTTGGGCAATTGATGGTGCACTTCAGCTCGGGGTAGATAACTTTTTTAAGATGGCTTACGTGTTATCCATTTGCTGCTGTTGCTGCCCAACATCTTGGAGCTCTTCCTCATGGCTGGGTAGACTTTCCAGGTCTTCATCTCGAGCACATTCTATGCATAGGTAATCACACCACAAAGCCATTTTCACTGAATAGCCTTCTTTTAGAAAAATTGTTTTATTGAATTTGATTAAGCACCAGTAAGATTTTTAATTTTTTAATAAGTATGAAACTAATGGACATAAATTATTTTGATTTCCAATTATACAATCCCCCAAAAGCTGAGAAGGAACCTTTTTGCCAGGAAAAAGTGGACAATTCTACCATTTCTTAACTTGAAAAATAGTCAGAACTCCTGAATAATTTCACTGTTCAACTTAGCCTATCGATTTTTCTGAAGAAACTTTCTGTTTTCAAAGAGTAGCCCTAAACCTATGTCCCTTGAAAAGTCCCTGACAAGTCAGCAACTCACCAGGATTATCAGCAACTCACCAGGACTATCAGCAACTCACCAGGACTATCAGCAACTCACCCGGACTATCAGCAACTCACCAGGACTATCAGCAACTCACCAGGACTACCAGCAACTCACCAGGACTATCAGTAACTCACCGGGACTATCAGCAAGTTTTGTTGCTCTCTTCTCCACTGCATCACACAGTTCATCATATTCCTCATTCGATGTGGAACCCACTGCAGGCCTAGAATTTTTCTGCTAAATAACACATGATCAACAGATAAGCCTAGGCCTACATCAAAGTGATTTGGGCTACTTTTGTTTCCACGTTAACATTGTCATAATGTTGGTCATTAACCACATTAACTAAGTCCAAGCTTATCAATGGAAAATGATGGAAGATGTGGATCTGTTTTGTTTTGTTTACAAGGGAGGGACAGTAGAGGGACCAGGTGACTCATGGTCGACCGATCACGCTCAACAATAGGCCTAGGCCTATGTGACAGAAAGAGACATGTCAAAGAGAAGTGGAGGGACCAGGTGGCCTATAATTGGGTCGACAGGTCACACTTTCTTTCCATTTCCAATTCTTTCCTTCTTTCAAAAGCAGTCCCTAAGCCTAAAATTGCCTTTAACTTATGCTGACCGAATTCAGTCTACATGATATGGGAACTAGGCTTAGGGCCTAATTTGGTCCCAAATTCGCAATCCTCAAAAAAGTAGGATTAATTTTCCTTTTCTTTAAAGGCCTAAGCCTTCTTCTACATGTAACATACCTCTTCCACGTTTTCTCCTACAATCTCATCGATCTCTCCGACAGGACTGCGCTCATCAGCATGATCATCCTCACTTTGAGTGGAAATTTCATCGTGTTCGTCGACCACTTCGGCCTCCTCATCTCCATCAATGATTTCCGAGCAAACTTCAATTATTAATTCACTGTCGTCAAAACTGGCACTTATGAATCTTCCTTCTACGTTTCTGCTATCATCACTGATCTTTACGACCTCCATGTCCATAATTTCTGAAATTTAAACCTGCGGGCCCACCGTGATCTTACTTCAGGATCAGCGACAACAGAGAAGTTCCTCTGCTCTGAATAGCAGACACGACAGAGCAACACTGTACGAGTTTAAAAAATAACCAGTGCATGGACTGACAAGATCCCGAAGTTTTTTTTGTGTGTGTAAGTCTGATCTTATTAAAAAAGCAAATCAAGCATCAAATCCAGGGTCTCATCTGTCAGAAACAAAATCGGCGCACCAGTACCGCACGAAAAACAAAAATTTAAATGAGGTTGAGAAAAGTGCCCACTTCAGATGGACTTAAGTTTGAGCTAAGTCAACGTTAGGTTGCTACCGGCAAGAACGGCACCTGACTAAGTATTTTGGTAAATCTGTGCAAAATAAACTCGCGCCAAAATTTAAAGGGCAAAGAACTTTGTTAATAAAGTAACTGTTTCGTGTGCGGTTGGGAGTGACGCATGCGCGTACCGATTACATGTACATGTAAAAAAGAGCTTGACATTTATTACAGTATGAAAACAGTCGTCGTATATCGATGTATGTGCGATATGTAGCTCACTGCACTGCACTGTTGAAGTAGAAATAAGTTTTATGACGTGCATAACGTTTTCAGATTTCCTTTCTGCTGTAAGCCTAGAAATAGTAAAAGATGGACTTAAACCGCCACAACTTCTGGTGAGAACCACAAATTAAGTAAGTTCTTTTGGTACACTTATTAATGCTTTGTCCCGCCTTGTTGCTTCTTTACTTTAGCATGTTGAGTTGTGGATTGGAACTAGGCCTAGCTGAAAGTCAGATCCCGTCGGACCTGACCGTGTGCTTCTCACAAAATCGGGCAGGTCCTACCATAGTTTTTTCTCCTTCAGGTCTATGGTCTGACTAATGTAACTGCATTCCTAAATCCATGGAATATGGTTTCTCTATATCGTTATATATCGTTATTCTCCGTAAAACCTACCAGCCAATAAAAAGTGTATCAAACCTGTTCATTTTGGGTAAAACGTTGTTTTGTAGGCCTAGCGACTAGTGTGGCACGGACTCTGTTACCGCTCCATCCAGAGCAGTAGCAAGAGTCCGTGCCACACTACATGGCCCAGGCCTAATAACATTGATGAGGATCCGGGAAGGTCCAATAGGTCCGACTTTCATCAAACGTCGCTGCAGGCCTAGCCCACTACATGTAAAATTGGCTGTGCTTAGACCTGGATCTTTGATTTAGGCCTAGTCCTATGCTATGGACAAAATGTGTTTAACAGCATGAGTGATACTTGCCCACAAGGCTCTACAACAGCTAGTTGGCCTATACTTTCAGTAGGCCTACTTTGCAACATGCTGAACAGTCCAATGTTGAAAAGCTGAGCAGGCCTATATGCTTGCAAGTACTGGTGAAAACACAGAGAAAAAAATATAAAGAAACAGATAAGGCTTAACAAAATATTAGTTGCATTTCCTATTACACTGAAATATAAATTAGGGTGGTTGGTTGGGTAAAATTTTTTTTTAATCTAAATTTTTATAGGTAAAGCCCACAAATCTAGGGTCAGATGGTGGTCGTTTTTTTGGGGGAGGGGTGTATTTGTACTAGGTACTAAGTCAGTGTTAGATTAAAACATGTACTGTACATGTGCACGTCAATGGTACATATCAGCACTGTGATTGAGTAGTAAAGCAGCTGGTTGTTGAAATACAAACACACAAGAGCCATCCATTTCAGGCAAAAAAACTTTAAAAATGCAATGTACAGGACGATGTAAACAAACTTAAGCTCGGACTATTATTCAGACCTAGTTGTGATTTTCTCTTTCTGTTTAGTTTACATTTCACAACTTTCTGACTTCACCATGGCAGCTGGTAGCATCGTCCTCATGGATTCTGGTTTGGCTGACTTGGACAAAATCCTTCAAAGCTTAGGTAAGACAATTCCCATCTCTACTCCTCCAGAAAACAAACAAAATACATAATAAGTGGTGAAGATGTTGCCTCTCATCTTGCTGCTGTAGGTTTGCATCAAGTTAGAATTCCCCGCCCCAAATGATACAGCTATTCCACATTTTAAGTTAATGCTTTGTACTGCACAAAGATTCTGTGTCAAATAAAGCACATGATGCCTTGTTTAATCTTTGCTCGTTTATTCTAATTTGACAGAAATTGAGAACAGACAACAGCAGAATGAGATACAGAAAGAACAGCAGGAGGCAGCAGGTAAAAGTTAAAAAAAATTGTGAAATATTTGAAAGGAAGCAAGAAATGATATTCAGTCATTTGCTTAAGAACTTGAACTGTTTGGTTTCAATGCTTAGCCTTTGAAGCAGCCGTCTCAGAGAAAGAAAAGAGTACAAAGGCACTACAGGAGGACACAGCCAGACTGGATGAGGAGACTAAAGCAGCCCATCAACAGTTTTGTCGTAACAAGGAGACTTATGAAAGGTGAAATACAAATGTGTCTTATCTCTTGACTGAAAATGGACATAAAGAATTTGGCCATGTAAACAATTGACAAAATGGAAACTTTAAAATACAACTGCTTCTCTATAGTTTTCAATTCATTGTTTTTCTTTCACAAATTTTCAATTTGTTGTTTTTGAAGCTTGAAAAATCATTACCTTGCCTTGGAGTTGAACCAAGAGACTGCAGAGAAAGAATTACATGAATTGCAGGATAAGTGGCAGGTTGAACAGTAAGCGTACTTTTCTTATTTGTATCTGGATTTGAGTACTTTATTTCATTATTTTTTATGAAAGTAAGAAATGTTGTTATTGAACTTTTTTTGAATTGAGCATGTGATGAACAGTAAGGGGGTGCAGTAGGAATCAAGTGTCAAAGCTTTTAGACGGGCTCATTAAAAAATTGCACTTGTTGCTAGTGTCTGATTTCAAAAAATGCAAGATTTTAAATGGGAATTTATCTAAGTTGCTTTCAATCAACCGATGTTTAAAGGGTGACATAATAACTCTTTCCCAGTAACTCCGAATTAGCAAAAATGGTGCTTAAAAGAATTTGATCACATCAAGGACCAACTCTACAAAATGCTATCTTTTTCTTTGCGCTTGCTAAGATTGGAGCATGAGAGACTTCTGCGGCATTATGAGTCTGTCTGGGAGCAGTACAAGGCCAAGTACGAGGAGAAAGAGTTGGCCGTTGAACTTAGACAGTGGCAGCACCAGGTGGGAGGAATGAGGCAACGACTGAACAAATCACAGCACAACGTGTCCTTGCTGGAAACAGCTCTCCAGGAGAAACAGGAGAAGAAACAGAATGGTAGGAGGGATGAAGGGGTGGGTGGAGCCATGGACGGCCTGCCCACTGACCCCTCAGTAAAATAAAATCACACAGTAGCTTACAGCTGCACACAGAGGGCTATGTACTCTTACCATCATGCATGTACAGTTGCAAGAAGTTGGAGATTTGTACCCCTTGCATGAGTTTTATTGTTTACAGTTATTCACTTTTAAATGTGTTTTTCCTTGTTCCATTTATCAACCACTTTCTTCATTACAGAACTCTACGCACTTCCCGATTCCTTGTGTGTCCATCTGTATCTGAAACTCTTTCCAACTCAGCTTATCTTTTATTTTCTGTATTCCATTGCTGTCTTTTCTCTCTTTGTCCTCTTTTCTACTTCACAGACCCAAAACCATTTGAAAGCCTGGCAGATTGGATCATCCAAATGTATCCTTTCACAAAACCTTTCAAAACGTCACTGTGCATAAACCTGGTCGTTAGCATTAAATGAGTAAATTCTTTCAAGAGTTCATTTAAAAGTTAATTAGAAATTCCTTAACTTTAAATGGGCATCAGAGCCAAGGCAGCGTTAAGAACAAGAGACCTCAGGAGACAAAAGGAAGAAATCCAGCAATCAGTCACCGCTGCAGAGGCAAAGATACAAGAGAGAACGGAAAAGCGATTACAACAACAAAAGGTACACATGGGCCATTTTGTCAAGGATTTTTCACATGTCTTCTGTGCTGCCAGAAAAAAGAAATGCATGGTGCACTTTAGAAAGATGTTTATGTTTTTTTATTTGACCAAAGGTCTTACTTTGATTTATGATCTGTTGTAATTAATATCACTTTAATTGATCTGTTGACTCAAGGAAGAGGAAGAACAGGAACGTAAAAGGAAAGTTGAAGAGGAAAAAGAAAAGATACGTCAGAAAGAGCTAGAGAGGTAAGAACCTGAGATCAAATGCCAACAAGCCGATCTCATGAAGCACCAATGTACAGCAGTGGACACTTTTTTGCAGTCTGGTTTTCTTCAGAAAGCAATCAATGCATTTGGTGATATACATGTATATTGAGCAAAATAAAGCCACTCCTGACTCTCATTGGGAGGTGTACTTTAAAGCACCACATGGAAAACACATTTAGAAAGCCAAGAAACTTCAGTGAATCCATGTTTGCTGCCTACAACGTCCTCCTATTTCCAGGCAAAAGCAGCAGCAGTTGAACCAGCAACAACAACTCCAGCAATTGAAGGCACAGCAGCGGCAACAGCAACAAGCCAGACAGCAGCTGCAGGCGTCGGTGCCAACCACGCCCCATCAGATCATCCCCCCTCAGTCACCGCTCTTCCAGCAGCCCACCAGGAGAGCTCTGCCCCAGTACCTCCAGAGCCCTCTGCTAGGGACTGCTGTCGCGCGGTCCAGTGCAGTACCAGCCAGTCCCCAGCAACTGCGGCAACCACCTTACCTGCAGATGCCAATCTTAGCATCCCCTCGTCCAATTGCTGCAAGTGCCAACGGCAGATTTGAGAATCCGTCGCAGCAGTTTACTCTCCAGACTAGAGCAGAAAGTGGAAACAACAATCCAGTCAGTTATTCATATCTGTGCCCTCTTGACATTTCCTTGTTTCCCAGCCCTATGAATCAATTGTTGACGAACTTTTTTAAAAGGAGTAGTACATACTATATCTAGGTACAATCCACTCAACCTGAAAGATTTATGAAAATATACAATATTTGGATATTTTCCTTAGCAGAAGCAACCAGAGTCGGTCATACCACAGGCGAGTGATGATCTTGCATTGAAGAAGACAAAGTCGCCGCCCAAAAACTCCACCTGGAACAAAATAGAAGAATCCAAACTTTCAACCAATCAGAGAGCTACTACAAGTCAGGATGAGCCAATCAGAGAGAGCCAACCTTTTGAAGTCAACCAAAAGGAGAGCAGAGAAACTGATGATGCAGGTACGTCTGAGGTTTTGTTGGTTATAATCTTAGATTAGATTAGATCTGAGGTTTTGTTGGTTATAATCTTAGATTAGATTAGATCTGAGGTTTTGTTGGTTATAATCTTAGATTAGATTAGATTAGATCTGAGGTTTTGTTGGTTGTAATCTTAGATTAGATTAGATCTGAGGTTTTGTTGGTTATAATCTTAGATTAGATTAGATCTGAGGTTTTGTTGGTTATAAGATTAGATTAGATCTGAGGTTTTGTTGGTTATAATCTTACGTACATTGCTCACTGTTCCAGCTTCTTCATACACCTTCAATAATTCAAAGCTTAAAACGTCTTTGTAGCAGTAAAATGTTGGCAGTGAATTTTTTGTGTAAAAAAAGGTAATGACTGATACATGTACATCAATAACGCTAACACCTCTCCAATTAAACAGACACACCTCCAAATGAAGCCCCACCAACACCAGCTGATGATCCTACCAGCTTCGAAGACCCAGACACCCCAGGGTCTGTGATGTCTTTACCCCCACGCAGTCCCTTTGATTTGGACACCCATCTGCAGAGTCTTCAGGAGTTTGCCAAGTCACCGGGCTTCTCCTATTCCTTCAGGCCCATGTTTGGAACCGAGAGTAACGAGGTAAGTCTCGGATCTCTCGCTTGTGGTCGGGCATGGAGTTGATGGCTGCGTAGGTGATTCTGCATATTGTGGATTGGGTCCAGCCCAAGGGGTTGTAGTTCGTATGTGTTCTTGGGCAAGACACTTTGCCACAATGGCATCTCACTCAGGCCTACATGTATGTTGTCACTGTGCTCTGGTCTTCTAGTCTGACACACTGAGCTTGTAAGATCAAGAAGATGATTCTACAACTTGAGGGTTTGAATCCACTCTGTATGGTTGTGGTTTGTGTTCTTGGGCAGGTCACTTGATCACAGTTGCATCGCCCCGTTAATCTATAGTGATAAATGCACTGTAACATTTTTACATGAGCTGTGTTACTATACCCATGTCTGTTCTGAGTCTGCCTGAATCAAGGGAAAAGGTCAAAACTGGTTTTTAATCATGACTGATTTCTTTTAATTCTCGCTGTACGTGTATTTTGTTCCAGAGTGAGGTGACAGAGAAACCTTCAAGTAATGTCCCAACTTCCTCCTCAGACAACTTTGAGTCTCCTTTCTTCCATTCCTTTTTCCCTGGGGTAAGACGTATTGCATTATGTGTTGTGTGGAATGTATTACAAAAAAGGAGCCAAATAGTCTTGAGCAGGAGACTAACAAGTCGTGAAAGTATGTGATTTCATCAACAGTGTACAGGATTATTGGAGCAGACATGTACATGTATTTGTAAGCCAATCAGAAAACTTATCAGAGCTGGAAAATGTGATTCTATTTTTTACCAACTGTACTTTTTATACCCCAAGGTGGGCGGAGCCAACCAGCAAGCCTCGGACACGCCCACACAGATTTTTGGTTCCTGCAGTAATCAGGCATCTCCTCATCTTACTGGTACATGTGAGTCTGACTTTGGTAGAACAATGATTACTTTTACCTGGACTGAGCTTATAAAAACAGGGAAGTAGATGGCAGGCTAACAGCCTCTTTACAATGTTTCAACAAAACTCAAATCGCAGCTCTGTTCCTTCCAGAATTTGAACATTGATGAGATTTTTTATAATTGCAGCCGTCTTCAGCCGACCTGATAGCCCAATGGACACTAGCCACTCCAGGCCTCCAGGGGGTATCCTGTCACTGTTTGGAAGCGGTCAGGACAAAGTTGAGGAGAGAAATGATGTGGATGGCTCTCCAGCGTCTTCATGTAGCTTCAGTTTCAATTTCAACGGTGGCTCCGACTCCCCTCATGTTGACAGCTCTAGCGAGGGAAAATTCAGCCTTTTCTGAATGAACAAACATTGCATGAGTTTAAAGCAATACAATTTAAGTGTTCATTTAAATAGTTAGTAAACCGTAAAGTTCTGTTTTGTTGTACACTGCACATATATTGCGTCATAATTCTTCAGCAAAGGCAATACTCTGTTGGTATCCATTATTTCTAGTATTGGAACACCAAACACGATGGCTCCCTCAGCAGGTTGTAAACAAAGAAGATATTGCTTACATATGACAGCAAACATCGTTAGCTAATAGGACATCAGACATCAAGCCTTCAACTGAGTGTTTAAAACCGTAACATACTTGTGTGATGGTCAACTTCAATAAGTTCACAAGTTTTGATTTTTCGTGTTTAGTTAAAAAGATTGAAGTATTTGGCGAAAGAAGTTTGGCCAGGTCTTTCAAAAGTCTAAACAGTTTGACATTTATCCACGTTCATATTTTTAAAATGAAGACAAAAACACAAACATATGTCAATATACTTATTAAATTGCTTTATTTAAATTGGTCTATTTAAATTGGTCTCTTTACATTTTCAAGCTTAAGGATATGAAGTTTCAATATCCTTATATTTAATTTATTCAAGGGTATTGCATTTTCATTAACCCAGTTATGGCACAGCACACAGGTAACATGAAACTCAATGTCCATATTTGCTATTCGGCATGAATCCGTGTCATGTCATTTGAATTATTTGGCCTAATTTCCAAACGCCTTAGCAGCTGTGCTTCGGACATTTCGGCCCCTTAGCAACTTTGCAACATGTGCCCAAGGATTCACCTAGTTGTTAGCATTATATAAACAAAATTAATTCATGATTTAACATTAAGGCATTTCTCGGATAAATAAAATTGATTTCATAGTTCTTTGCTGCTGTGTCTACGAGTAAGTGTATCCAGAAGACTTGTGTCCCTTGTTTTGAAAATGGAAATTAATAATGCCCATATATTTCAACATCTTTCCACAACCAAACTTTACTCAATGAATAAGATTTCAATATTTTCAAAAGGTCCCTTCAGCAGAAAACTATAAACATCTGATTGTACATGTAGACTCTTTTTTCTAATTACAAGATTTCAAGATTTTCCGGAACAAATACCGCACTCGGTCATATTTTAGAGTTGGCTACGATCAGCATGGTATTTCCAACACAATAGAACCTGTAACTTTGGCTAGGCAATAGCTTATGATATGGAAAATAATACTTAAAAAGTGCAGCTACAATGAACTGTTGCTGAAACAAGTGCAAAAAATGACTTACCCTAATAATGCACTAGAAGAAGATGGAAAGACGGCTTGACGGAAGGCATTCATGCTGACTCAACAGTGATTGGCAAGTTGGTACAAGTTTATATGTAATCATGTCAATAGAGTCTTCAGATGGAGCAAGTTTAGTCACATCTAGTGTCTACTACTAAGTGTTCTGAAGAGTGTTTTGCAGAGTGACGATGCCTTTGCATCAGTCACTCGTTGAAAGACGGCATACTGCTTGAAGTTTGCTTAAAGAGTACATTTTGCTTGGCAAAAATATCACAGGAGGAAAGAAAGGTTAATTACGGCCCAAAGTCCAGCCCAAACAGATGATTGCATGAGTAGTATGGCACCAATACTGAAGCTTCCAATCTGCTGTCGGCCAGTTCATGCTGGTGTAGATTATAAGACGTCCAGTGATGTTTATCACAGTTGTGTCTTGCTTTCTTGTCGGATCTGGAAACATGCTACGACTGTTCATATGATGCCAACTGTGTCATGTCTTCTGTTTCTAGATCTGGGCCCCAGTCGGAAGTCTGCATTTTAAATCAATCACTGACAAGTCTAAGGCAGATACTCAACATCCAGCGTTTCTTGCTGTGGACAAAGCTTAGACGGCACATAAGAGGCATATGCTTTATAGCAATTGTCCCGAAGCAGGTGGAATAAACATATGAAGTGTCCTTATGACAAAGCAAGCAAGGAGATGGCATAATGGCAGTCACTTAAGCCGAGTCCTCGGTCAGGAAGCAGACGCACATCTGGTCTTTGCTCATCAGCAAGATGGCGTTACCGTCAGGGTGCCATTGCAACCAGTTCACTTGGAAACTTGCTGTTAAATCAAAGATACAATGCAGGTACAAATCCACTAGCATTAATCTGTGGTGAGGGATTAAAATGAAAACTTTTGTGTTTTGCCAAGAATCCACATTCATGTTGCCAACAATCAACTGTTCTTTTCTACTGTATCACTAGGCATTTAGGGGATTGATGCAGATAGATGGGTAAACACAAAGGAGTTTTCCTTGTGGAACAAAAGAACTGCCATACAAGATGGCTATCAAGCAAAGCCTCTATAGGTCCATTTCCACTGAGCAAAAGCAATGTTCGAGAAATGTAGGGCACTGAGGAAATATTGAACTTTTGTATTAGGCAGGTGGAAGATTTTGTGGGGTTTGAAAGTTCCAGTTTTCTAGAGGCGTACGAGGACTCTCAAAAGATGAAGGATGGATCCTGGCTAAAAGAGCTGATGTGTTCACTTTGAGGACAACCATGCGCAGTGGATGGTCACAACCTTAACCCTAACAGTCCTCAGTCCTCCAACAGGTGAAGGATTGAGGACTGTTAGGGTTAGGGAATCAAGCCCCAAGCACCAAGTTGCCATACACACCTTCAGCGGGGACTTCCACTGCTACGCAGCCAGCAGGAGACCACATGTACAGCTTGTTACTGCTAGTGCATACGGCCAGCCTTGCTTTGATGGGATCCCATTGCATACCTTCAAGAAAATAGTCAACTTGGAGTCAATACTTGAACCTAATGATATCAGCAAATTTTAGGCTGATGTTTAGGGTGCTTCACTGATTACTGTACTGTTGATGTTTCGACGATGTATGTAGACTGAACCAAATCTATGAGAAAAATCTACAGCAGAGTCATAAAATACTAGGCTTAATGGCAAAGATCTAATCCCGTCAAACTTACAGCGGATGGTATTGACTTGCAATAGCAGCACAGACTGACACAGCTTCTGAACGTCCCATATCCATAAAGCATTGGGCATGTTATCTGAAAATCACGACAAAGGATTAAAATGGAGAAATCAAATGATTTCACTGTTTATGATAGCAAAGTGAAAATAGAACTTGACCATCTGAAACATTCCTACAGTTGAACTGACCTGTTTCACATGCGAGGAAATCATGGCAGTAGAACATGGTGAATTGAAAAGTGTAACGCTTTGCCAGAATAGACACATTCAACCTTAGCGTCAGTGTCTTGCCACCTACCGTTTTTGGAGGCCATGTATCGGTTGTCAGGACTAAATGATAGCTGGCTGATTCCAACCTTTGGATTGGCTTTATCTGGGTCCGGTTTGACCACTGGGATCTGAATAGAGCCCTCCGTTAAGACCTCATCTACACAACAGCAAGTAGGAGCAACAAGATGAGATGACGAGGAAGTAAATATAGCACTGACAAAAAAATTGGAAACCTGTTTGAACTATCGAGATGTGGTTGGACCAACTCAACTACAGCAAAGATGAGTGCCAGTGTGTGCCTCGTGCCAATGTCATTTTGTTTGTATCGGCAAACTGCGCTTGCAGGAGCTAGGTTTTGGATGTCGTAGATGACACGACAGGTTGGCATATCTTGGAGGAATTCTGTCAGATGTGAGTTGCATGAACTAAGAGAAGGTTGAGAAAGTTCCCGTGGAAATTTGCTGACTATAGTTGGGCCAGCCCAACTGTAGCACTATCCGCCTCAAGCAGAAGCACCCCCTCGTCGGTTTTGTTGGTAGCAATGCGACAGTTACGTATGCATTTCCCAGTCATTCGCGAATCAGCGAAGTTCAATTCCAACCAAAGGAATCTCCTTTGCTAAGAAAACAGTGCCCTCTCTTGGTCCAGCTCGGACCCATAGTTGGGACTGATGCTATAGTTGGGTTGTAACAATCCTATTCAGTTTATGATCCTGCTGTTGACTGCCTAACGCAGCAATTTCACACAGATTTGTTGAACTGACTTTGAGGAAAGATTGGAGTGTATTTTCAACTTTAAAAAAAATGGGAAAACAATTTGGCCAATAGATAGAATGGGAATGTTTAGACACTGTAAATACAAGAAGTCAACTCACATTTACTCTGGACACTGAACATGGCAGTGTCTGGTCTCCAGCTGGTCTGGTTACTGCCTCCTCGACCCCCTTCTCGGACCAACTGGGGTCTCTTTTCCACCTCTTTGTATAAAACCTGAAAGAAGCAGAATCATCATAACTGCCTCATTATGACTTTCCTACATCCTTCAAAATTTGCCAGATTTTGGAGGATTTTGTAGGATTAAGGAAGGTAGAGCTTTACTTGAGGTTTTGTGGTGACTTGAGGGTTGAAGTCCAAAGAATGTGCCTTTGTTATTCCTGCACAGTGAACTTTCAAGGATTTGGGAAGATTCCTAACAATGGTGCCAGGAGTTAAGGTTGGACGGCAGCTACAGAACAGTGAAAAAAATAGAAACTAGACTAGTCAACTTCATACCATCGACAATCAAACGTCTTGCAGTTCTGCCCACTTTATGTAGTCTGTTAGCAGTAAGTACCACAAAGAGCATACTACTTTCATAGGTGACATGTCTAAAAGCCATGAAGACATGACAGAAAATATCCAAGGGTGAGCAAACAAGACAAGTTTGGCACCAAGTACAATCCATGTTGACTTTCATTTTTAGGGCAACTTTTCTGCCATGCACACATGTAGATGACTCTGCATGGTGTATTTGCCACTTGTGTCTGGCTTCAATTAAGTACTTACCACAGAGCCACTGTCAAGGTTGGGTGGATGAGTGTGTTCAACCACTGTCTTCCATGTTATGTGATTCAAAACTCGAACCTACAGGGACAAAATAGTGACAACAGTCATGGTGACAAACAGTTTGGGCTTTGAAACATAAGGAATAAATGAAACTTAGGGTTTGATAAAAAGTCATATCAATCTGTTCTTCTAAAGTCAATATGTACGAAAACGAGAAGGATCCGGTATTGACACTCACCTTCTGATCAAAACTTCCAATAGCCAGGAACTGGCTTGACGGTGACCAAGCTATAGACTTGATTCCAAGGGCATAATCATATGCCTTGAAGGTGGCTAGACAACGCCCATCAACAGAGTACAGCAGTACTTTGTACTGTAACAGGAAATTCATACGTTGAGAACAAACTGTAAACTTGTCAGTGCTGTTTTTAATGTCCTAGAAAAGATGAAGGTTTGGTAAAATACTTCAATATTCTTTCAGTTTTCCTTTTACAATGTCTTTCTGTGATTTACATTTACTCTTGAAAATTAGATGTCCCAAAAGTTCTCGGGAAAATCTTAAGAAAAACACTGAAAACCTCAATAAACCCACCTTCCCTAAGAAACCGAAGGGAAGAGTAGCTTAAGAGAAAACACTTACACGCTACAAAAGCGGTTAGTGAGATCTTAATGAAGAGTCTTACCTCAAGCAGTGAGTCCCAGACACACAGCACTCTGCCACGCTACAAAAGCGGTGAGTGAGATCTTAATGGAGAGTCTTACCTCAAGCAGTGAGTCCCAGACACACAGCACTCTGCCGTCGGGTGACCACTCCAGTCCAGCCATGTCTCTGGTGTCTGTCTCAAAATGCTGTATAGCCAAAGAACAAAGCATGGCACTGGAAAATAAAAAAAAGGGTGAAACCAACATCGACCCCCTCCCCATTGTTAATCACCGGTTGATTTTGGCTGCTAACCTACGCACAAACATAACATTGGTATCACGTAAAATCACCCAGTAATTGATTAATTGGCCTCAAGCAAAAGCACCCCCTCATCAGTTGAAAAGAGTCGCGTTGTTCTGGAGTGTTCATTTTCTTTGGAGCAACGTGACCATAATGCATGCATTTCCTGGTCATTCATGAACCATTGAAGTTTAGTTCTGACTGAAGGAGCCTCCATTGCTAAGAAACTAGCGCCCTCTCTTGATCCAGCATGATACCCTTTGTTGCTGATACTGAATTTGGCCACATGTTAATGCAAACTTTTATCTGTAGTCAGCAGAAGGCTGTTGTGCAGTATAATACGGAGGCTAACCTTCACCAACTGCCATGTGTTGCAAGCGAAGACACTGATGAAATCTTTACAATCTCGTCTCTCTGCTAAGGCCAGGTACTTCCCATCATGACTGAAGTGCATTGCTTTGAAGGACAAAAAACATATTTCAACACTGTAATAAAAACATATGTGCCAACCCAGTGAAAAGTTTATGACAAGATCCACACGAGAAGTATTTCAAAATTCCAAAACAGATGCTGCAACCTTGTGAAAACTGTCAATATTCGCATGACTACTGCAAAGTCCATTAAACTTGTTCACAGATTGTATCCTTTGTTTTAGCACTAACGTGACGTTCTTTGGCATGGATGTCATATAAAAAGTCAGGACTTGCAATGCCACCAATCAGCTCACATAGGCCATTCAAGCTGCTGGTGGTGTACCTCAACTCAACCAGACCTGATCCCATCCCAACCAACCAGACCCCACCACACCCTAATATTTATCAATGTACAACGTTGATGGGCAAAAATAACCTTTTCTGAATACACTTACGCTGTTTTGCTTCCTTAGGATACTTGATGTAGGACACCGATTTGGTAACTAGTGACCACACAGTGATCCTCAGGTGGAATTCAGCAGTGGTCAGTATGTGCCTGCCATCTGGACTCCATCGTACCGCGATTAGGCCAGCTGATCCTTCGTCTATCTTGCATGTCCACTCTGGTTGTTCCAGGGACCAGACTTGTATGATGCCTCGCTTGAACATGCCGCACAGGATGAAGGCTGAATCTGATGACCACTGCCCAAAACAGTGAGATTAGTCATGAACCCTAGCGCTGTAGGCATGCACATTAATGTACATGTACATTAATGTACATGTACATTAATAGCGACCCCAATGACAAGTATTAGTAGAACTCCTTGCTTAAAAATACGACTTTTGCTCATGGAAAGCAATGATTGTTAATTGCCATAATAGTTTACTCTGAAGACTGAACATCAATCTTCTTCTCTGTTCTTTTAAAGATTCCATTCATTTTGATGAGGGACAATGAAGAAATGTAAACCTTTAATCAGCCTTTGTTTTTGAACTAAATACAACATCTTGAAGTCAGTTTGACCAGTCAGAATACTGCTGAGTTCCACCTCAACTTCCAGTCTTTTTTTTCAAATCATAATGCTCAAATCACTTTTTATTCCTTCAAATTAAATTAAAAATTAAAGTTCCAATATTCAAATACTTGATGAATCATAAAACTACTGCAGGGATGTGCATATATGGCATACGTTGCATAATAATACCTCCATATGCTGGACAGTGTCCAGACAGGTGTACAGCTGCAAGATTTGAAGAGACTGGACATCTCGCACAATCAGCCTGTACTGCAGAATGTTAGCCTACAAGACAGAACATTCATGAAATTGTAACATTTTCTTTGTCCCACATGCGAGACAATGCACCACATTATTGGCCTGTGGTATGCGGAACACAGATGCGAAACAATGCACCACATTATTGGCCTGTGGTATGCAGAACACAGATGCGAAACAATGCACCACATTATTGGCCTGTGGTATGCGGAACACAGATGCGAAACAATGCACCACATTATTGGCCTGTGGTATGCGGAACACAGATGCGAAACAATGCACCACATTATTGGCCTGTGGTATGCGGAACACAGATATCTCACATTATTCCCTGTTCCACAAACACATGCTTGATAATAGGTTTATCTTCAAGCAGACTTGACAATGCGGTGTGTATGTACCAAAATGCATGTAAAAGTAACTAACAGTGACAGACAGATACCACTTCACTTGTATGACAATTGAGCAAATTTCTTTACTGGTAGCACTAGAATTATTAACATTTTTTCACTGTGTCAATTCGAGGACAATGGCACACCACACCACAGGGCCTTCATGGGAACACAGCAGACAACGAGCCACACAGTTCTGGGGGTAGGATGTGATATGGACTGTGTGATACAACATGTGCATTATAATATCACGCTGTTGTTGCCATGGCATGCATGGCATGGATGGACCAATCAGAAATGAGGATTTAAGTTTGCTTGAACAGTTGAAAATAAATCAAGTCATCATCTCATGTTTGATACACCATCAATAACAATCAGGACCATCATGACCATATGCACTCTTGCACTTAGAATGTAGGGGCAACTTACAGTCATGACAGTGACATGCACGCACGCATGTCAATGACACATGTCATCCCAATTCATCCGCTATGATCTAGTCTTCTGGCATTGTCTGGACATGGATATTCCAGTTTCAACTTATTCGACAGATTCAATCAAAGCAAAGATGCTGGGCATGACATTGTGTGATTAGTCGATACACACGAGCAATCAGTCATTCATTGTCAGTCAGTCTCTTATTCAGTTATTGCATGATTTATTGGTAGGCCTAGACTTAAGCATAGTTATTATGCCATCAGCCAATCACCTTTTGAATGGTCATAAAACTCAAGTTAAACTTTAAATTAAAATTGGGACCGACATCCTTAGTAAAAAAGACTGTTTCAAAATCGGCATGATACTGATAGGGAGTTCAGTCGTGTCAGTTGACATGGTTGGAGACTTCATGCGGGGTCGACCAACATAAACATGACCAGATGACCAATCATGCAGAGTAATTGGCCGATGTTAGGCCGGCCAAGGATATTTACATTAACGTTAGATATAACTTAGTCCATAGACATGATAGAGCAAAGAATGCTTAGTCACAGCATAGAGCTAGGATCGCATTGAGACCATGCATGAGGTATGATCGGCTGAGCTCTGATCTTGCCTAACCCAGGTGGACTCCCTGACCGTACAACTAGAACTAGTGAACTGCAGTACAACGTCCAACCTGGGCTAGATCTTGACCAACAATGATACTTCATGAAATGGCGATAATTTCTTACCAAATATTTCCCATTCGGAGAAAATTTACAGAGGTGACTACTCTGCTTAAACGGCTCCGAAAAATTCATTTTTTTACGTCTTAAAAAAGTAAAATTTACTACAAGCAAGACGGTATTTCGTGCACCGGATGTTCCGCCATCTTTAAAATTGGCGCTTCGCAAAGATTGATGGGAAGGATTTCTTAGTCTGCTTCACAAATTTAAAAATAAATTACCAATAAAATCACTACCACTCTATGCTGTTGTAAACAAAAATACTGTTTTATAAGAATTAACTTAAATCACTTTTTACAGAGACAATAGGCCTACTTGTTTTTTTTTACCTCAAATTTTAATTAAAATATATTCTTCGTGATGGTGTAGGTAATTTATGGCAACTCGAAACTTTCACAGATCGGTGACTCTTGGGCCACAGTCTTCTCAAATATCTGATATGAACGATCATTGAGAACGATTAGTCATTGACTTTGGACGATGCCTGTACTTAGTTCTACCCTGTTGGTTCTGAAAAGATCATTCCATTTCAGTGGAATTGTAAGGATCATTTCTCAAGGTAAGCTTCTTCATCCAATGGCGATCGACGGCACGAACTAGTCTTGCAGTGAGGTCACGTGGGGGCGCTATTCTACATAAATGTTGTAGTTTGGGTTTATGCCATGGTTTTTCTTTGTTTTCGTGTTGTTTCTTGATATTTTGTATGCAACATGAAGAGACCTGTTGACTTGCGAGTCTACCATAAACTGGTGAATTGGCTGATAGCGGAATTGAATTATCATTGAATTGCCATGCAGCTTGTGAAATATTGTCTAAACTGGACAAGGGACGTGCATTTTTAATCCAAGACAAAACAAAATTAACAGTTTAACACACAAAATTCCGTTAGGGTTGTCTAAGGGGCATGGCTAACTTGCAAAGGCAATAGGTCAGTTGTTGACAAATCATTTTATTAGAGTGACTGTTCACGTATAGCTCAAGCAATCACATGGATCGACTAATCACGTCCAGTGTTTGTAGTTGGCACTGATACGTTATGTTTTGCAGATAACTTACTTTTCCCCGATTCTGATTGTAACAAAAACATGACACATGATTAAGCCCACAGCTTTATCACTTTTCTCTCTACAGGAGTGGCCACCTACAGTACCAAGCCACGCCCCCCGACTGAGTCCTTAATCCAGTGGAACAAACTCCCTATCCCCAAGAAACCCCAGAAGGACCGTTGGGATGAGAAGCATGCCCTCTTTGGCGAGAACGATTACAAAGACATCTTAGGCGACGGCTCGTACGAGTTGAAACGCAATATCAAGCATGGCCCACGCTGGCTGCACGGCTGGCGAGGCAACGAACTGCAGCGACTCATCCGAAAGAACAAGATCATGGGAGCAGACATGGGCCCGACGAAGCGTCACGCCATGCTCAAGCGGATCAAGTACTTGCACAAGAAACTGAACAGAAACAAGGGCAAATGGATGTACAGAGATAAAATGGAACGGAACTACAGGGATGAGATGTGATGAGCAGAATGGATTCAAGACTGCTGCGATATTTATCGGCACTTTGGACTCATGTAGAGGAAGTTTCTTTTCAGGAAAATTTAAAGATTTTTGTGTAACAGAATCATGCCTTATGGAAAGAGTTGGAACGTCAAAATACGCTAGATTAACAGCCAAGTCCTATGGATGACTACCCATCTGTCTTTGTCAGGCAAATTTTACTCGGTGCACACTCACAAACTGGATTTCTTCAAGGCAAGGAGATTGCAAGTTCATAAACTTGTCACAATAACAAGCTTTATTTCTGAAAAACATTTACAATCATATCAACACAAGCAATTATGATTTTGTTACATTAAAAAAAACCAGATTACAATGACATAAAGAGTCATGTCTTATTGTGTTTATTCCGTTTCCCATTCCATGAATCATGTACCATTGCTCCCATTTTGAACACAAAAAGCTAAAAGATGCCATGTCTGTGCCATTGTGACATCAACTACCGTTTCTATTAAGAATCATAAAGAAATGCCCATTTCTTGTCCTTGCCGAATTTTAACTTGATGTGCGTTTTCGGGCAGTGATTTAATTCTTTTCAACCTGTATGGCATTTTTCCCAAACCTGGACATTTTGCTTGGGATCTTCATGAAACTCAAATCTTTAGACGTAATCTGTCTAGGGCTATCAAGCCCAAGTAGAGAAACAGTGGCTGGGCTCTGCCTTGAATACCTTCCTCAATCCAGCTAAATTTGCCACAAGCTGGTAGATCTTGTGAGTGACCTGTGACTGGTTTGCGATTGGCTAATGATTATCTGGTAATGGACTTTGGATACACTAGGGATACAATAGTGACTGATCTGTGATGCACTTGCGACTAGTCTGTGATTGTCTTGTTCTAGACTTGTGATACACTGGGGATGCAGTAGTGACTGATCTGTGATGGACTTGCAACTAGTCTGTGATTTTCTTGTTCTAGACTTGTGATACACTGGGGATGCAGTTGGGAATGATCTGTGATGGACGTGATAATCATCACAGCCCTGTGACTGACTTTTGACGAGCCTTTGATGGACTTCAGATTCGTGACTTAACTTGTAGTTGACTTGTAACAACTTACAACTCTGTTAAACACGACTGAGCCGTTAAACTTTCTAATATGTTATACTGCTTAACTACACGATATTCTTATATATCAGTTATGTTTCGGGGCTAGAATTACGGAAATAGGAATGGTCCAACAGGACAGAGTAAACAGTGGCTCCGGTGGGAACTATCGATGGCTCGCAGTAGTTTAGACGAGGGTCCGTAGGGGTGATAATGTGGTGATGTTGACTGGAAGTTTGCAGGGGATTGAGCTAGGTTGACTTCGTGTCTCAGCTGGGATTAACATGATGTGCTGTCAAAAAAAGGAAAATGGAGTCAGAACTTCCTTGATAAAGATTTGAAAGGAGGAAAAGAGATAGAAGCAAAAGCCTACGGTGCCAATTTTTCTTTTTTTTGGGGGGGGAAACTGGGAGGTGGTTTGTAAGCTTTAATTTTTGTTGGGGATGGGAAATAACTAGTAGGCTGGATTGCACTCAACAGGGCACAGCACTGATCCCCCGTCTACAAGTGACTGGCTACAACTATTTCATTTCCAGTTTTGGAGGTTTTTGTATATAATCAATAAGTTTTGGCTTTACTGCACTTGAATCTCTGCTGCCTGAGAGATTTCGTACGGGTTGCAACATGCACAACAAGCACAGATGAACTCACATCTTTTGGGTATTCGGAGGGGTTCACTGTCTGCTACGGTACATTCGTGAAGTTCACTGTGGAACTCGTATTGGACCCGTAGGTTTTTCTCTTCACCCAAGCAAGGATCATAAAATCCTGGAAGAGAAGCCTGTAAAAGAGACAAAAACAAAATAAAGTTCATAGCATTTCTAGTCACGTCGGATTTGGTGTCTGATTACTGCAGACAGGAGGACACATTGGTACAAATGCATGATATTGTTACTGATGCACTTGCCTTTATGAACACAGGATGATATCTTCTTTATCATTACTCTAATTACTACTTTTTTTTTGCATTTTGTGAAAGAGGGGTGACCCCTAAACCTCCCACTCCTAGATCAACACCTAAGTTCCTTTCACAGTATACCATACATAATATGACAAGTCTGGTTAGAAATATCGAAGGACAGAACAGGCACAGATTTGACTTGAGGCAAGATGACAAGTCAATGCTTTGTGATGACTTATCAATTACAAAGAGACAAAAACGACACTCTTCCACAAATTCAGTTTGAAGCTTTATGACACTGCATTGAGGCCCTGCTGTTACAAAAATAAGAAACAGAAATCTGTTGCAACCTTGGAAGCGTCGGTGAGTATCAGCTTGGAGTCTTTGACCTGGCATTGAAGCTGCACTGTGACATCAATCATGCCTTCAATCTCTCCGCCCACTGCCCCATCTAATGCTCCGCCAAATCCCTCCTCTCCGTTGTCCTCTGATGTTTCCCGGATGACCAGCTTGCCGTACCAGGCCCGGGTGATGATCAGTCCCTCCCGGTTACGCTCCACCTCGACGATGCGTTGGACCATCTCTTGCATGAGGTGCAACTGGCAAACAAGAGAGGTGAAAGGTCAGTGTGTTGGTCATGCCCTCAACCACTGTACCTTGTGTTCCTGGTTCTAACCCCTCCTGGTGCATTTAGTGCATTCGGGCCATCCACTGCTAGAATCAATATTTTGTAGTCTAGATTTGTTTCCACTGCTCAAGTTAATCTTTGTTTTTACTTTAACCAGAGCATTGTAGTTAAGTCCATTGAAGTCATTATGTCTTTAGGAGCCTTTCCTCATGTGCATCAAGACTTGTGCCAAGCACTGCGCATCCTACAGAATCACTCCTCAGGCGATTTTGACAGCCGAACGCAGTGCACACGTGTTATGTTGAAGTTGATTTTTGTGTCCGTGAAAGTGTAATGTAAACGTAAATATGGAGAGGCGCCTTTAAACCAAGTTACCACCTTTTCAAATGAATCGCTACAAAAACTTTCCTTTGTGACTGTTCCAACTGTTGCTTATGACTGGTTTTGTCAAAGGACCTGTGAATAGACTTGTGGTGGACTCAACTATAACACCACACAACCCTGACTTTTGATGTGATATCCCGGGCTACAGAAGATTTTAGGGCTAGTAAATAAAGAAATATTCTTTGGCAAGCATTCTGAAACTGTTAGTCGTTACTTCCGTGTTCTCCTTAATTTACACTTATTTAACACTTTCAGATGTAGACTACAACAGTTTAGTGTACATTGGGAATGCAACGACGTTCGCACCTTGTGAATATGGAAGAGAGTTCAATGACCGCATTGATACCAACCTCAGCCTGTGCCTCCTGTTTTCTCATTTCCATCATGGTTTGTTTAGCTTCACGTTCCTTGGCTGCATCACTGTAATTAACAAGAAAACCAGTAGTAGCAGAATCTCTTCCACTCTCCGAACGACTTCATGAAGCAAATTTCTACCTGGGTGAGCATGCTATCATGCGAATCGATCTGATACGGCACATAATACCAATCTACTGGAGCTCTGGGCACTGTATCATCGCTACCCCTGATCATCAGGCCCGTGAACATCCTTGAGTCTCTCGGATTCCTAGGGAGTATTCAGCTCCTTGCTATGCCACTCAGCCACCAACAACCATGTATACCCTAACAGATACACCTTGAGCAGAGAAAGGCAACTAGGGGTAAAGTGACTTGCCTAAGGACACAAGATGAGCCAAGCTGCTGGATTTGAACCCTGGACCATCTGTTCAGCAGTTTCAAATTCTTGAATACACTAGCAATACGCTCCAAAATAATTCTTGATAAAACAGTGCTCAGCTCTATTAACAAAGAGGTTAATTTCAAGTTATTTTTCTGAGTGACAATTACGCAAAAGATAATTCCACCCAATATTTTTCCTCACGATATGGGCTTTATCTATGCCCGATACCCACTCTGTTTTTTGCTGGTTCAAGAATGGATCCACCACCAGGACCTTGATGAACCAATACGCAAGAAGGGGAGCCACGGTGCCGTAGAACACAGCCTGGGGTGAGAGTTCATGTGACAAATGTATAGGAAACAGGAACGTTTGGCTGCCACGGGCTAACCTGTGGAAAGTTGTTTGAAAAAATTGTAGACGTTCCAAAGACACTTGGGACTGACATTGGTACATCCAACTCTTACAGCTAATAGACAAAAATGCATTTCCATATGAAATCATTTCTAGATATTCCAATACAGGTGAATACACGAAATCTGTCAACCCTTGCCAAATGTGCTTTGGGGCAATGGATTACGTGCAAAGTGATTGGCCAACGCGTTGCAAACTCTTGGAGGCACACTATTGTGAAATGCATGTATTTGTGATTTATAATCATAGATCAAAGCTTCTAAGTGGAAGACATTAAAGAAGAAAATGGAAATTTTAACCACTTGCTGCCAGGGGGACCCGTTTTCGAGTATGTAGGGGAACCTAAAATGGGACAAAGGGAACTGGGCCTTGTAACAAAAGAATGTACTTGGAACAAAAGACCAGGCTGCTGGGCATTACCCACAGTTTTTCACTCTCAAAAGTGGAGATAATCCAGCCTTGTTTTGAAACAATATACCACGGTTTGGGGCATTTAGAGCGAGCAGATTCCTGATAATACAAGGTTCCTGTTATAACAAGATCATTTGCCAAGTCCAAACAACCTCTTATTAACGAGGTTTGACTGTACACTAGAACATGTTTACATAACTAATGGATACCAGTGTGCATAGGGAAGTACACTGTTCACTGAAAAAAAAAATTACGTCATTTTCAACACAGCTTACGACTTGACTGCCTTGTGTTTGAAAACATAGAAACTCACAACTGGGACCAACACTGCTACCTAACCTCTTACCCATTTTACAATCTCCTACCCACCTTACTCTCAGAATGACCCCAGCTGGGATACCAATGCTGATCTTGGCAGCTAGTCTGCTGTGCCTGGATATCTTCTTGTCGCACCCATACTCAAAGACTGAGCCGAGAAGCCCAGCTCTGGAGAGCATAAAAACAAAAGCAGATATCGTGAAGCTTAATTAAGTTGATTCTTATGAGCTCTCCTGACTGTGCATTGAAGGATAAAACACTGGGATGTCACAGAACATCCCAGATATCAAGTGCCTCGTACTGACAAACCTGGCCTGGTCTGTCACAAACATGGATGCCAATCTAGGCAGGCTGTTTTACATATCTGCACTCAATTTAATCCCAAATAATTAAGTCAACAAGGAATAAAAACAAGTATGCACACATGTATGTAATTTAAGTTTCCTGACTGAAGCTTTTCCACTGTCGATCACCATTTTATTTCAAAACACTTTTTGTTCTCAGTGAAATGTTCCAAAGAGTCACTGGAATATATATGGAAGACTATTACTTCTGTATTCTAGAAAGTTTATTATGGCAATTTTCAATCATTTCTGCCTTGTTGCTGTCCTCTCAGAACAGATAAAATCTTCATTTGGCCAAAAAATGTATGATGAAAATTCTGCCAATTATCTTAATTTTTTTTTATCACAAAAATTCTCATAATGTAAAAAGACCCCTGGATGGCCTGTTTGTTGGTATCACTTACTTTGCAGCTACCGTGATCTTCCCATCGTGCTCTGGAAATTTCTTGGTGAAGCTGACACTAATGAAAGAATTGGGGATCCCCAGCTACAAATGAAAACGGACAGAAACCAAGCTGACAATAAAAAACACTGCGATGTTCACATCCCAACCCTACAGAAGAAAAACCTGGATATTTTTCTGACGTCACTGTAACACGCTCTTTTTCTCCACTCAAACCTTAAACAGGTGGTTTACCTTGTCCATTCTACATTTCTATTAAAAGGAGAAAGGTATGAAAGACTATAGTGAAGATTTGCGGGTTTTGAAAACTTGGAGGTTTGAAGTTTTCCCACCTGTACTTGGCACATGGCATGAGTGGACTGTGTATCCCGGACGACCATGGTTGTCATGGAGGACGCCATACCCCAGCGCCACGTCAGGTAACCCATCGTGTGTTTGTCCAACTGACGACCGGCCACTGTGCCCAAGAAAAAGTGACGAGGAAAATAAAACAATTTTACCCGTGTATTATAGTACTTTCTGCTGAATTTTATTCACACTATCTGATCGACCTTGACTAGCTTGGGGGTTGAATCCCTCTTAAAAACTGTGCCCGTCTGGCTGATGACTGGCCACTCTTCCAAAGAAAAATCAGAGTGGAAAAAATACACACCCAAGCTCTATCGTTAGCCATGGATTGTTGTAGCTAAATTAGATGCAGACAAACCACCTGACCTTAGCTCAGGGGTTGAGTGAGGATGTCTACCTGTGTATTTTTTCACATAAGCCCTTGGGCGGCACTTACAACAAGGGTAAACTCAGCATTAAAATACTTTTTCAAGACAATGCAAAGTGTGAATTCACTCCGTCTTACTACAAAAATGAAGACAAAGAGAACCTCCCATACACGGCAAAGGAACGCAATTTTTAAACTCTTCTGTTCCGTTTAGTGGCCCTGGAAGTATGGAGAAAAGACAATGCAGAAATGTTCCTTCAGCGGTGGGAGGAACACCCCAGATGAATATCACAGGGACAACAAACGGAGTCAGGAAGGCACCGGCAACTTAATCCAACTGTCAGCCTGGGTGGGATTCGAACCCTGGTTCACAGACGTGGAATGTGCAAAAAGTGGTGCTATGCTAACACGATTCCCCTCCTCAGTAGTTGCCTTAAGCAGATGGAATTCATCTACAACAGACAGCAAGAAGTGCAACACTCTCATCACTTTAAAAAGTCTGAGTATCACTTCAGCCTCTAACCTGTGGCTAGGCCTGGGGCAACAATACCTCCAGACAGTAGACGGAAGGACCCTGTACAGGTGGCAAAACTGTGGGAGGTAGAAGACAGTTAAATAGATTAAGCTAAGTGGACCAGAGGCTACCCAAGGATTGTGGTATTCAAAAAATACCTGCCATAGGGTTTTTTCTACCTCCAATGCGGCAAATTTCATCACTGAATAAAAGCAACTACAGGAGACATGAGAATTTTGATAAAAATTATGCAATAAATGTTTAAATATTTTAGGAAAACAATATAACATTTTCATACTTTTGTTTATCAAGTCAAATCCTTCAAAAGCAATTCCAAAAAATTCCTGATTTGGTCAGGAACTGAAAAGAAAGATCTTCCATTTCAATGACGGAATTATGAAATAGCTTTAGCAATCAGTAACTCTGCCAAAAAGTTAGTTCACCTCTCCAGTCCAGAATTCACACAAAAATGTTGTCCCTGAAAAAATAGTAGAGCAAATACCCATCTGGGCTTGGCGGAAAATAAGGGGATTTCAAAGTGTGTCACTTGGATTCGTTTACCTTCTCTTGTTGAGGTTTCGGAACATCTTCAGGGCAAGACTGGGCCCACCCCCTGCTGAGACTTGGAACTAAAAGTGTTTTAATTAAGGTCAGAGATAAATAACTCTCAAGTTAAAAAGTCTACAAAGTCTGTATACTTTCACTTTGCAAATATGTACTGCTCAGAACTCTGTTGAGAGAGTCATGCTAATTTCCTCAAGTTTTTGCAAATGACAATTTTTGCTTTTGTTTACAATGTCCATAGTTTTTGTCAACACCCACAAAGCTCTGTGATTGCGAGGTCACTAAGCGAACATCGTGTATGAGCAAATTCGAAAATATTTCAGCAGTTAATTTTTAGGATATGTCCCCAATGGGCCTTCGGCTATGTCTGTGGCTAAGATGTGGCCACTGCCCTTGCATTTACAACCAGCTATGAGCTAGAGTTAGCTCCAGGCAAAAGATCTGTGAAACAGATCAACTATGAACCCTTCTTAAACAGATAAATCCTGGCTAGATGGTTTCAGTTTTGCTGGTAAAATAAGTCTTTGTATTAGCATTAAAAATGGAACGGCTATGAAAGAAATGAATCCCAAAAGGGCAACGTTTTGTTAAGCATACATTTATTCTAACACTCGTAGTTTCGTGTAAATTACATAGAATTTTGCAGGATTTGGCATATCCCGGGTTATGAAAATGGAAATGTTGCTTCCTATGCGTGAGCCAGCTCTGAGAAAAATTTCACCGAAAAAGGTTGCAAGTTGCTAAAAGTTCCATTATCAATTTCAAGATAAAAGTTCCACCTACCTCACCCCAGGACTGATAGGAGAAGATCCGACGATATGAAATATTGAAGTTACCACTGCCGTTACCGTTCTGAGTAGATAGGTTGCCAGACAGCACTGCAGTGTCCGAGGACGTCAATGGGGCATCGATTGACTGGGTGATGGACATGTTTTTGATTTCTATAGAGGGGATGCCACTGCAAAAGATGTTTTTTCTAAATGAAAAAAACTGTCACATGCTGACTGTGATGCCGTGACAAGGGCATGCTTCTATGGAGTTTGGGGAGCTAAACACTTGTTTCAGACTTGGCTGAGAAAAAGGGAAGAGTTTTTTCCTTGAGATTCTTCGCAAACCGTGAAAGGAGCTGCTGTCAAATGCAATTTGACTGTGGAAAGTTACTCAAAGTTACATCTTATTTGCATCAATATATCAATTTTGTTTTTCATGTTTTTATGAACTGCTCTAAGTTTTTGTGTCTAAAAGCTATTCAGTAAGACACTTACTTTCCTTACAGAAAGTTAAGCCAGAATAAAATGCAAATAAGTCAGGTGACCCATGTCAATCTAAGATATTGCATACCTAAATTCCATATCGTAGTCTTCATAGACATCAAAGAGGTCAGTTGCATCAATTCCAACTGTGATTGCCCCCTTGAATGCAAAATAAATAAATTACATGGCAATGTTTATACAACTGTCAAACTTTCAAATGTTAGGGAGATGGACTAGGCAGTATTTACGACTTTCAATGCTTACTGCAGGAAAATTGGATGCAGTGCAGCAAAAAGAGGACAGAATGTAAAGGCTGCATCATAAAAGGTCAACAATGGAAAGGTTATAGGCAGAAATACTGACAATTCTAACCGATACCTAGGAGGAAAGATTTGCTTATGAGAGTGCAACTGAACTCAAATTTGTTCTGGCAAGGCTCATTGTGCAAGGTTGGGACTCATGTCCTATTCTGGCCCATACCTGCTGATGTCTGAAATGTGGACAGCTTTCAAGAAAGTTCTTTTACTATGAGATGTGATTAATGAGAGGTGACGCAGTACTGTCCCCCTTTGTTGTAAATGAGCCCATCACAAGCCCCTGCAAGTATATCACAAACCAGATCAACCAATTTTAAGCCTTATCTCAAGCTGTTCAAATGAATTATGACATAAGCATTCCTTAGTCATTGTCCACCCCAGTGCTTGAGATTCGTCTCAAGACTCGTCGCAAGAACTTGTGACTGCAATCATGAAAAGACTTGTGATGGACTCTACTTCAACACAGCTGTCTACCCTAGGGTTGGTGCTCTGCTGTAAACGACGTTCCTCTCTCTCCTTCGCCAGCCGCTCGTACTCCTCTCGAATTTCTTGAGGTGTCCTCCTCCTGGGAACGACGTCCCACTCTGCTTCCAAGCCTTTCTCTCCGTACACATCATAGATAGCTCTCTTACTGGGGTCATTGAGGACTGCATCAAGAGAGCAAGGAGTATCTAAGCTGTTTAACGACAGATTCTCTTGCAATGAGGTAGGCATGAGAATTTGTGAAGTTTGCAGACAATTTAATGTCAAGTTTTGTAGTAGTAATTTACAATTTGTATAGGATAGATTCCATTTGCACAGGGGATGTACAAATGAGAAGAGTTCCACAAACAAACATCATTTTTCTGCTTTACAGCAAGGCCTTTAGAAAGTAGTAACATGTCCTAAAGAGTCAAATTTAGCATCAAAGCATTTACATAAATAATACATAAAGTTTTTCAGACCAGTCTCATTGATTCTGAGCACAGGGTGTTATGTGATAAAGGTGTAGGGAACTCTTTACCAAGGGTCAGAGTTTTCACCCCATGTGAAAATATTATGTGTGGCATAAAAACGATGATACACTCCATCAATGGGTGTTAAATTCTGACTTCTCGGATGACTAATATTCACACTGTGCTGGGAATCACATGGACTATCATACTGTTACCCTACCCTGGTAAGCTTTCTGGACCTTGTTGAAGATTGCCTCGGCAGCTGTTTTATCCGTCTCATTGATGTGTTTGTCTGGATGATACAGAACACACATTCGACGATAGGCAGCCCTCAACTCATCACTGGTGGCCTGTGATGTACACGCACAAATGAGACAACATCACGTAATACCAGTGTTGTAGGCGAGACCATCAGAAGACCAGACACAAGATCAGACAAGAGACCTTTTACAAGACCAGTCACAAGTAACAGGGTGAACAATGACAAAGGAATGCTTTTGTTGCAGTTCATTTGAATAGCCTGTGACTTGAAGTCAGACTGGAGGTCTTGTGAAGGTTTCATGTCGTCCTGTGAATGTCTTAAGTGGTCCCGACTACAACACTGCATAATACACAAACCTCATCTGTACTGCCTCTCTATTTGATCAAGGGTGTTAGAGGGACGAGTTAAACTAATTCTTTTTTTTTTATTCGTCTCGAATCATATCTAATTTTGATTTATTTTCCATCCTTGCTGGCTTCTGTGCTTGTCCTTTGTTCACTGTTCTTTGTTATCAGTAAAATCACTGTTTCTTTGCAAAATACAAACAGCTAGCTTGACAACTCAGCGTGCATCGCGCGCCCTGATATTGCCATCTCCCCCCACCTTCACCCCTGCTTCCAAAATAGTCCATAAGTAGTGACTTTGAATTCTCGAAGTCTAGAACCTGTATGTTAGGTAAGGACATTCACATATGAGCGAGGGCACTGTTTATTGGGGAACTCATTTTCTTAAATAGGAAATCGTGATTAAAATTTGTTTTTTGCGCAGGCTCTGTGCAGAGTTTGATGGAATCCAATTCAAAATGTTTCTTATGTCATCCTCTCCAAGATCACTTCAAAAAGAAAAACAGAGAAAAGTAGTTGAAATTTTCATGAATCTCCCTATTGGCCCTATACTAGGCCTTGGCCTACCTACATGCAGACATGACCTATCAAGTATCGTTTTCTTGAAGTTGATAGGCCTACAGCAGGCCCTGGGTCCCTTCCCCCTTACTTAGGCCAAATGACTGTGATAACATTATCTTATGCAGCAGTGGACCTAATTAATACTTTCAAAAGATTTACAAAAAAACTGAGACTGATTTACCTCTTTCCTTGAGTTCAAAATAGCATAATAATCGTCTGAATTCACCAAGCCTTCTTCCAACATGGGCGCTGCCATTTTTGCACCACTGTACGTCGGTTTACTCATGGTTTACGGAGAACTTACGGCTAGGCTAGATATAAACACGCAGGCTAAACATGGAAGCCGCCAGCCTAGCCGTAGTTATTTGGAGGCGGCTTCTTTGCCGCCCTCTGTTGACATTTGCTTGTCCTCGTGCGCATAAAGATGCATTCAAACAGTTGTACATGTATTTCTGCATTCGAAGCAAGATATGGGAAGGAGAGAACCCCCCCCCACCTTTGAGTTGGTCATTATTTGATCGGAATCNGGTATATATATATATTTCTGCGCGCGAGCTCATTTGTGCTCCCGTGGGAGGTTTTACAAGAAGACATGTCATATTCAGGAGGGAACATAGAGATATATCTATAAATCCCAAATTCGGGACTGGAAGTTTCCAGTTCGGGGAATTTCTTCAAACAAAAAGCACCAAATTGCGGCCCTATTTTGGATAGAGGCAGGCGGCTTGATTCAGAGCTGGGCGCATAGTTTTACAACTATTTTGGGGGTATCTTCGGGAAATGGCAAATAACAATTTTTTTGTTGTTGTTGGTAACCCCCATAAAATTGAAACGAAAAATTATCCTTTGGCCATAATCTAGAATTTCCAGTGAAAAAAACGGAGGCTAACCACTTCCCGACAATCGACAGGCGGCGCTATTTCAGTCTGATTTTGCACTGTTTTCTATGGTTGCACAAAACCAATAAATATGCCCGCTTAACTCCACATCTGACAGGGAAGCTGTCTGGTGCACTGCTTTTGGTAACAACACCTTGGGAATCTACTTGCACTCTCGTTTCGACGGCAGGCTCTTTATTTTCCAGCGCTTTCGAGCCAAGATTAAGTTGTCTCAGTCATTTCACTATCACGGCCCTCTTTCCCTGATGATGCTGCTGTAGTCGTTCAGTTGGCGCTGATCTTCACTGAGACCCTGTTTGATCAGTTCACTACTTCCTGTGCAGTCTTTGGTCTAAAACTCAGCGACACAAAGACAGTTCTACGTCTGTTGAATATCAAGTGCGATCTCATTTTTGATTCTTTGTTTTATGGTTATCTCTGAAAATTTGTACTCTTGTATTGTAATTAATGTTAATCTGCATGGGGTTCAAATGTTTTATCGGTATTTAAGGTTTTAGTTTTATAAAATTTATGTATCTTTCATTTTAATTTTATGAGTATATTGTAATTAGATCTTACTACTGGAAGATCACAACGAAATCATCGTATGTTTACACGAATGACAATAAAATCTATTTCATGTAAACGCCGCATATTTGTTTTTCATCTACCCACTATGATTACTTTAGGGAGGCCAATAAACAAAAACAGCTCTGTTTTTAAATTGTAAGTGTGGTCCTGGAAAAAAAAGAAGATGCACAAAATGGAAGCTCTGATAACATGAAGAAGTTGACAAAAGTTGAATTATTTTGTCAACAAATAAGTGAAAGCCCCTACTCTTGGGAATGTTCTGGCAAGTAACAGGCAGGTTATATTTTAACGTTGGCTAGATGTGAGAAGAAAAAAACAAGAAAAGATCGAATAGGCGTCTGCTGAAGTAACTAAGAAACAACATCCTTCAACGCAGAAAACGACACAAAGGGAAGGGGACCCTCTCTCGCATTATACTCTTCCAATTTGTGACGCTTTATTGACCCTGTTCTCAAAAGGCCGATGCATGGAAAAGCTCTTACAAAGAATTATAATGGGCGAGACCTCGAGACCCTGGAGTTACTGTGCGAAGCTAAGCGCCTTCCCTTTATTGCGAAATTTCTTTTGTGCGCTATCAGTCTCAGTGCTTAAGAAATATTGCCTGGTAATCTTCGTCGATGTGTACATGCAAAAGAGATGGCACACTGAATGCTTTGAAAGAGGGTGTTCGTTATCGCTTCTACTAACCCCACACACAAGTAGTTGTGGCTGTTGTGGAGAGCTCGATTTTGACTTGGCAGTGTTCCCATTGCAAAGTTACAAACAAAAGGTAAGTTTCCACTTAATTATAGACCATCAGCATTAATAACTCAGTGTCATGTTTGGAATGGATAAGGGAAGATAAAAGCATTCTCGTATTTCGTTTGTGCGATTTCCGTGTAATAAAGTTGGAATGTACACATGAATGAATGAATGAAAGAAAGCTTTCTTTGCTTCTGGGTGTCTTTTGGGAAAGAGTTTTACATACGGGCAACGCTTTTAATGCCCCTGTGCACAAACCTGTGAGACGTGTCTGAAACGAAAAATTTGGAGTAAAAGTTTGGAATTTTCTGAGCTAACTTGAACTTTTTAGGACATGTCATCTCTTTCTGACAGCTGTTGTAACATAAGGGGAAATTAACGTCCATTAAATGAAACTCTGTCTTTCGCATGAAGAGATGAAAATCAGTACATTGCAGTCTATGTTTGTTTCGTTGTTTTTTTAATCAGTACACCTCTATGCGGATCCATAATGCTGTCAAAACCTGCATGAAATGGGCTTTGTTTTTGGTAAAAAGGCATGGAATTAAGGAGCATGGCGTTGATACCAACTTGTGTTCGTGTATAGACAGTACCTTCATCTGTATTCTTTTGCTACAGATGGCGAACTGGTGTCGCCTGGTTCCAGTCGTAGCTTTGATCCTGTTGGTCAGTGCTGTTTCCTTCACTTCGGGCCAAGATATGGATGTAACCTTCCAGTTAAAGAAGAAGTGGTTTGGTGGATTTCTTGGCCGATTACAAGTCAACTTTAACAAAAATGCAAGCTTTTGGTTCTTTGACGTGACCTTCCGACGGAACGTGTTTGATTTGAGGGTAAGTGGTATCAACAAGCAGTAGGCGATCAGAGGAAAATGGACATTTCCAAACGAGTTCAAATTCATGATGTCCGACATCCCAGTTATCTCAAAAACTAAAAATAAAAGAGGTGACCAAATTTATTGCTATTTCACACATTGTAAAGAGTAAGTCCAAATTAATATCATGCTAAAGCTTTCATAAATTCTCCACTTCTTCCAAAGCAATATAAAACAGCGGTGTAAATATGTTCCTGAAATGGGGGGTTGGCCGTGGAGGGGGGGGGAGTTTGAGGGAGTGACTTGCCTTGTCTTGCCATTAACATGGGGGGGGGAGGAAAGCTGACACCATATGACACCAGGGGACAATGTTCATGGTATAAAATGCACATCCATGGTGAATATCACTCACCTGCACAATCTGAAAGTACCTCGGAGTTCACGCAACGAGCTCCCGGAACCCTATTTTACATAGGGCCGTCCTATCACGTTCGATAATTTTTGGAAGAATTTGATTTTGCATGCAAAAAATCCTAACTGGTCCCAATTTCTCTTTTCATTTCCCAAAACGATATCAACCTCATATTTATTTCAATGAAATTCCACTAAACGTCTTGCAGACTCTTGGCGCAGTGGCAAAGGTTGGTAAGGAGAATCATAGGTCCTACCGCTTCGCCGATCTGCCCTGGAGTAGAATTGCAAGTGATGGAGATGCAATGGAAATCTTATTCTACGCCAAGACGTGGCGGAGGGTTCGTGGTCTCAGACCCACCATCACAGCAACCAAGGCTTACCCGCAAGACCGTTGCTTGAGGTGTTGTTCTTATGGCGGCTTATTCTACAGAGGGAATATCAACGACTGGACGACCTATCAAATAAAACCCTCCCTGCTGACAACCGAGAATTATGTATTTAACGACCACACAACCATAATGTCTGTGTCCGACGTTAAGCCGCCTAGTTATGGAAACGTTTTGGTAAGAAAACTCTTAGTGAGAAACTTTGTTTTGTTTGTTATGCAAGTCGCTCAGCGGCTCGACGCAGACAGTCGGCAAAGTTAGACTGGGGCTCAACTTTGCCTATCCGTCTGGAGCTGGTTTGCTTTGTTTCCAGATGTCTGCGTTGTAATTTTCCTCTTAATTGCGTCGCTCTCTTAGCTTCTTACGTCGGTATGGAAACCAGGCTTTACATGTGCCAGTGGGTGAATGGCATGATCAATTTGCTTGTGTATTTTGCCCAAACAGTTGTTGATACCTTGGTGCAGTTTTTCACGAGATAGACTAACTAATTTCAGTCTGACCACAACGTTCAAAGTTCGACTCAGTGCGCTTGTGCATGTTTCACACGCACGCGTAGAGACATCCGCATGTTTCCAAGTTGTTTCTGTGTTATTAAGGGCGTTCTCCAGAGCAATGTGTCTAATGTGTCTAATTTTCACAATTTTGCCGAGTTTACCCTCATATAACTTTGATGCCACATGTAAGACTAGCAAGTCTTATGTACAAAAAAAAGGTTATTACGTCTGGGAAGAAAACCGTTTTGAAATTCACTTCTTTTTTATTGGGACCCATTTTAGTCATTTTCTGTGTTTGCCCGCCTTATTTAGAGCCCAGTTTTCACACTTTTGTCTAATTCCCCTCAGATCATCGGTAATACTATTTGGAAGGCTGATACATTTTTTGTATCTATCAGCTCGTTTTTTCAAGATCGAGAGCCATTTGTCTGAAATGCGGTTCGTTTTTCATGCGGATTCAAGTTTCCTCACTGAATTTAACAGCAGTCAAACATGAGATGTCCGGATTTTGGGCATTGCACATACGGATTGGTTTCCCATACGAAGCCTGAGACGGAGACGAAGTTGAGTATTGGAAAACGGCCTTGGGGTTAGATCGTGCAAGGCATCGTGGGAACCAACATGGCGCAGCAAAATCGTACCCATTGGAACGAAGTTGCTTGTATCTAAGTGCCAGTACGTGATTAACCAGCGGACAATATGACTTCTCAGCGGACATTATTAAATGTTTTAATACACGTGTTTCGATCAACAGGAATAGAAAAACTATCCCAGGTATTTATGAATGGACAATTTTATGTGCCCCGTGATAGTGATAGTGGTAAAGATGCAATGATATATTTTATGTATCATTGGTGAAATATTCTGATGAAAAATGCTGTATGAGCCCTCTCTAAATCTGCGCAAAGAGGGTCTTTTGGTATATCATCCAATTATTTTGATTTGTTTTCCGTTTTTGCTGTAGCCTAAACTCGGAGAAAGTTCCGCTGACCTTGTCTATGACAGCTACAGCGAATTAGCTGGTGGGTATGGGGCTCACATCTTCATCACCAGGGAACCATTCCACTATCCCGTACCGGAGACCAGTGATTACTGGATTATTTTCCAATCGGGTGGGTTTTCTTCTACATGGACCTATCTTTCCGGTTCAACGGCTTGTGAATGCGACAGCAATAATCCTTTGTAGAAAACAACAGTAAGTGGTTGAAATAAGATGTACATGTACCTCTAGGGGAAACAGATGGGTTTCAACCCCTGGCTGGTACAAAGCCATCTTCAATTCAACCACCACCACCAAACTTAACCAAAATAATAATTACATAAAATAATAATTTCATAAAATTATGACGAACTAACCCATTTTAATTAAAATGTTAAGGAAAACTAGTAGAGTGTTTTACTTATTTTTAACTTTATGTGTACTTTTAAGAGTTTGTATGAACGCAATTGTTTACAGACGATAGTCAGAAACCATTGGATTAGCTACTAGCTTGTATGTAGTTCAATTCCATGAAGTCTAAGCGCTTGACCTGATTAAAATATTAGGTCGCCGCGGATTCAAAAAGTTCCACCGAACATGTTTTCCTAAGGATCTGGATTCAATAAATACTCGTCTCCAGGGTAGAGTCTTTGAAGCTGTGAGGGTTGGACATGTATTTCACGGAGGAATGTTTATAAAACAACGCTTTCGACTAAAAAACGTTTTTACCTAAATCGAAGTTTGAATAGCCAATCAGAGTAAATCGCAACATCAAAGTACAATGATTATGCGTTTGCACCTGAGGGTGAAAAGTTACCGTGACAATGCTTTGTCCAATGAGGTTAGGTCACCAAACTAGGTTTTAACTTACTTCATTTTGAAGTGCCCACTATCTGTCCATGATCATATTTAGTATAGGCTACCACTTGGTGAAGACGGAGTACATTTCCTTACTCAACAGTACCACGAACTCGCACTTTTTTGCTGCTCACTTCCTCATTTGACACTAGAGGGGAAAAACAGTGCAGCAGAGAAGGTGAAAATAATGGTCGATATAAAACATTTTGTCTTTGGTGTCGTCTAGGCTGTCGCAAAATCATTAAAGAAAAAATCCCTCTAGTAAGAACAAGACAAGAATCAAACTTTGGAAAGAATTACCCTAGAGCAATGCACTCACCAAATTTATTCCTAGAATCTATCAATACAGTTGTACATGTAATACATGTACATTGTATCTTGACGTAAATTTGTGCCGGAAATAAGGGTTGAATCATGGGTAATTTGTGCGTGGGATGACTTGCCTGGCCATGGAAATTTGAAATGGAGGGGGTACTGATATCGTCTGACACTAGGGGGCGATGTTCATAATGCAGACGTACATCTGTGATAGTACATTCCTGTAGAATATTACACTTGAACGGCACAATAACATTAACTGTACATTTTTGTTGTTGTTGAGAAGCGCGAACAAATTTCACAACTTGTTAAGGTTTTCCCTTACCGCAACAAAATTCAGGGGGTGATTCAAAGGCATATTCCCACTCAAAAAGTGGGGGATACATATACCCCTAAAGTTTTATTTTTACGTAGGACCATGCTGACATAATAGTTGAGTTATTCATTTTTATTTTATATTTGGGTTTTCGTCATTATGACCATCATCAGAATTAATTACAATTTCGCCTCTTCGGGCTCACGTTTTACTCTTTGGCTCTCTTAAGTGTGAGTTCTCTTTCCCTGACTGTGCGTTTTCTTTTGTCTTTTCGTTATTATTACAATGGCAGACTTTGAGATGCAATGGGGCGGCAGGCAAACTGGTCCTTTTTCGCGCGTTGATTCTGAAAAGGCGTACAGCCGTCTTTTTGAAGCGGTGGTATAAAAATAGTAAAACTCTTGCAAGCGTCACATGACACACTTTCGTCCAATTAAGGTACAGAATCTGTGGGTGAGGTGTTATAATAACTACTAGTCTTGGTCTAGCCTGGATACCAGACCGCATGATTCTGATTGCCATATCAAGGATCCGGTCAAACCTCATTCCCATGGGTACGACCTGGCCGCGCCATGTTGGTTCCCACTATGCCTTGCGCGATCTAACTGGGATTGTTTAATAGGATAGATAAATTATTTAGCTATTCTATTATGGGTGCGTTCGATAAGCTTCCCCGATTACACTAGAGTTACACGCAAAGGAAGCTTCAAAATGAGGCTGATCAAACGCTGAAGTGTGTTCGCCAAGGCATTCTGGAAAAAAAAGTCAAATCCCCGCCACGTTCTATCATGTCCATGCTCGAGCAGTCCATCCGTGACGTCAGTACACTTGGGCAGCCTCCAGAGGCCCGCTCGCCAGCCGGGGTAGTGGTAACTGACACCAGGGCAGGCAGGAAGATCACGTGGTGTCTAAACGAACGCTCTCCTGTGCTAGTTTGAATTACACGTGTAAGCTAATCGAACAAACCCTATAAATCGAAGATCAATGTTATAAACGCATAGACCACCACTCTTGCGCGTACAACTGTGATTTTGAAAAGTATGGGCAGACAATGGGAGAAACGATGGATGGCAGCACATTCAGTGCGCAGCACGCTCAACGCACTTGCTTTGCCCACATTAATTTACATGTGCTCCCTAAATACATTAATTTTTGCTTTTCGGTACTGCTATCTCTTTTCAAATATTGCAACCGCATTGTTTCGAATATGCACGGGCCGGATTAAATAAATGCACGTAGATGATTTTTCACAATCAAAAATGGCTTAATAGAATGTTATGGCTGATATTCTTCAAATGTTCGTAAATTAATGATCGAGTGCATAGTGTTGTGATGGTAATCTGCTTATTCAATAGAAACTAGTCAAGCATGCAGTGTTCGCACATGCACTTGTGGGTGGTTGAAGCTGCCCGAATACATGTGGCCAAGGCGCGCGGTCCACACGTCGTGGTATTGTTTACATTTAGCGCAGTCCAGTCAGGTCTATATCCCAATGCACCCGGAACCCCATAGATGGACCCCAATAAGACGCTTTTAGCGTCGATCTGCGCACTTCAACGTTTGAAAACGACGCTGTATGTGTCAGCTTCAATTCTTAATACGATCAGACGATTGAAAGTAAGGAATCAAGACACAAAATACATAAAGATATGTTAAATTCAGACTTTTCAGGCTGCAAAGTTTTGTGGAAGAATCTTTCAGGATGACTCGACACGTAAAATCAAAAGAAAAAAAAAACGACAATTGACCGCGAACTAACGTACATGCGATGGTCCTGTGTCTTATGCAGTGGGCGTGGTTTAAACCGAAGTGGCGTCACACTTACGAACCGGATACTCCATGTACCGTGTGGACTCCGCCGGCGCGCTCGAATAAGTTCAACACAGAGAGCTTTGATTTCGATGCAGACATGCGCAGACGGTGCTAATGTGAAATCCCTCTATTAATTAAATCTAATCTAACATTTGAACCACTCCCATAACACAACTTCAGACTTTGGAATGTCTTTTAACGAGCTCCAAAAGAAAAACACTTTGTGTGCTGGGAAGCTTACTGACCCTAAAGAAATCGATTGCGCAGCAATCTTTCTCGCTCTGCCGTGCAGTTTTCCTTTGGAGGACATTGCTCTCAATCCAGAATAGGCTTTTGTCTAGCAGCCCACAACAGCGGTGCGTGGATTCACCGGTAAAGGAAGGGAATTGTAGGGTCTCTCTCTGATCGAGGCCACGGGTCGAGAGTGTTATTCATTGCATTTACACAGAGCTGCATCTACCAACTCCTAACAGACTACATGTGGTATTTGTCGAGAGTTTATTTCGTCCAGTAGACATTGTATTGACAAGCAAAAGGGATCGAAGTTCCCCTAATTAATCGACGGCGTTAATTGCAAAGTTTGGAATGTGTAAAATATACGGTGTGGTATCAAAAGATAAGTTGTATTCCCTAAGACTATCCAACTCCAAGCGGAACAAAAGAGGGCGGGTTTTTGGTACTCACCGCATAGGCGCGTCATGCTTAAGGCGCGCAAGTACAAGTGCGTTTGACGCAGAGCACGCTGAGCACTCGTAATTGAATTACTCCATTGATCTCCATTATGTCATGAACCCGTGCAAATTCCCGCTTTTAACCACCTGTCTTTCTTTTCGCTGATTGGGGGTGCACTTCAGCTCGGCCCCGGGCCGATGCACTTGGGAACCAAATTGTAATATATCAGCCACAAAAAATATAAACCATTCTGCAAAATTTGTATTTTACTTCAGAGCTAGGATTCAGGGGCCATTTACAAGCATTTCTTCCACTTCATCACTAAGTGGAGACTATACGCCGAGTTAAACATAATCATTCCGACCCCTTGAATGCGTTTAATGATGGAGGAGAGGACAGTTTAGCAGACTGTTTTTTTTTTTTTCAAGTTGGTAATATTATGTAGCGTAATCCCAAAATCCAGCTCCCCTCGTTGCTAGACACAAAATACAAAATAATATTGTCGTCCCCTCCCCCACCCCCAAATCTGAATCTGTTTATCCATAGTCAGTTCAAAAGCCATATAGGCCTACAACGGGTTTGGATATATTTAAAGATTGTATAGCGCCGCGCAGCGCCGCTGGGCGGCGCTATACAATCTTTGGTCAACACCTCAAACAAGCTACATGTGTATATGCAATCACACATATGAAGCCAAACCACGGTTCACCATGGTTCACCATGGTTCACCATCTAGATGCTCAACCCAACCATAGAAACTTCACGTGTGAAATTAGGCTGCAATAATTAACATTCGGGCTTTGAGCCCTCAAACTGTTCAACTCTTGGCCCACGGTTGAGGGCGCTCTTGAGGTGAACCACGTTTAACCGGACCTATGATAGATCGACCCCAACCAAGGGCAAAGTCACGCTCGCGTGATGCCCGCGCTCGCTCGTAAACTATATCATGTAGATGTACGCCTACAAGTTTCGTTCTATTTTTGCACCTTTGCCCAAGTTCTATCTTATCATAAACTGTGAAGGTAAGCTTTAGGTTCCCAAACGTACCGCTAAATGGGAAAGAAGTCTGTGGGCCTACTGGACCATCACTGTCACATGTCAGGACTGTTTTCGAGTGCAAACACCCTACCAGTACCAATTTTATGAAACGTTGGGCTGGCCAAAAAACGCCTCCCCCCCAGAACGTCGAACCTTCAGTCGGGCCTCAGTTCGGGGTTAACATTCATGAACGCGAGGCCTAACCCTGCTAACCTTTTCGTACATATTACAAAATGAGTTACCCATGGTTTTACAAACTCATTGAGCTCTACCCCAGCTGGGCAGTCCAACTGTACTGACATGACTGACACTCGTATGTTCTGTAGTCGATCTCATTTAGGCCCGGGGGGAGGGCTGGCTATCTGCTTTATTGGAGTATAAATGCAGGTAGAATCCAGGTAGAATCCTTCTTTGTCATCTAATTTTTCCTCAGTCCTTATTGGAAAATGTTTGACATCGGCCTAGGCCCACAGGCCCAATTGTGGTCAAGGAGCACGTTTGATTAGGCCTATTCCTCCATGGTTATACTCACTAGCAAAAGTGGAGCTTTGACTTTGAAGGGCAAGTCCTACACTTAGCTGTGCTGCAACAAAGCATTACAGAGGGGAAATTGTGACAATGTTACATCCCAACTACTGGATAGCATCTGTCCCAACTATCAACTATGGCTGGAATGGTCCTACTGACTTAAGAGGTGTAGCTCACCTGGCCCAACTAATTCCTCAAGAAAATTGCTCCATCTTGATGTTTATGAATGCTGCTCTAACTTGAAAGAATTCATCCAAAACATACTTACCTAGCATACCATTCTTGACACAAATCAAAACTAGTTCCTGTAGCCATGAGCTGCTTGTGCAGAGGCTAAGACATTGGCACATGCTTTGGTATTCACTAGCAGTGCGTGTTTTACTTGAGTCGGTCAAACTGCCGCTCTGTAGTTGAGACAGACACTAAAGTTAAGGCAATTTAATAACCTGACAATCAAATTTATGAAGTATTTTCATTGATTCGCTCACCACATATAGCCGTGGGAATTGTGCACTGTTTCTTTGTTTTAGTTTCCCAGTTCTGCAGCTCAGCAATAAAAAAATTACTAGTGTAGACTGAGCTGGACTGAAACAGGCTGCAAAATGGAGTGTGTGACAGGCTGTGTGGATTCCAGAGGGGCTGTGCAAGATGCAGCTACAAGTAGCTCCCATTCCAGAGGGGATGGTGACAGAGGCTATGCACCTGACCTTGAAGATTCTGAGATCAAAAATGAACAAAGTGATGACAGTTTTATTAGCAATTTTGACGGTTCTCATCCTGATGGGAAACAGTTGGACACAAATGCAAACAAGTCGGTCTTTGGCTACAAGGATGCTATGATGTCACCACAGGAAGCAAACATCAGATCTCCGGAGGACCAAACCAAAGTCACAGAATCTGAGAGTCAACATCAAAATCTTCCCCCAGTGATCAGCTGTTCCAATGCCAGTGGGGATGCATCCCTTGTTTGTGCTAGTTCTGGTAGGAGTGATGTTGACGCCTCGGATGGGGCTCTACAAAGCACATCAGCCGAGGAGATTGTTTCCAAACCACTGAATGAAGCTCTCATCGATGCAGGACGATTCTCCTATGTTGCGCTTTGCAGCGTCAATTTGGCAATTCTCTTTGAAGACCAATGGAACAAGTAAGTTAATATACTTGTGAATCCATGGAAAATTTTTCCACTTTATACCTTCCTGAAATATCGCAAGTCCTTCAAAGTCAATCACAGAAAATCATGAACACATTACCTGCACTTGGAATTTTGTTAGGCATCAATAAACCCTATTTTAATTGGTTAGTGATTTGGCTCTACCTTCCTGGATCTTGCAAAATCCTTTGAAACATATTCTTGGAGTGTTGGATTTTGAAGGATCTTGGAGGGTTAAAGCTTGCCTTATTTATACCAAATCAAGACTGCTGTGGCTAACATTTTTGTTAGAAGTTATGCCGTGAAAGGATAAAGACAATAAAAGGTCCATAGTTGATCAACTCAGATTGATTTCATGAATAGTCATACATTAATATTGTACTTTTAGTTGTATCACAGTTTTTGGCCAGAGCATAGCGTTTTGTTTGAAGCTTCAGTACCTACCGCCTTCCAAAAGACAAATTGTTACAAAAATTGTACCATTATTTAGAGACTGGAAAGAGAGAATGGTTCGTAGCCTGGTGAAGCACATGAAACTACCCAAGAAGACGTGCGAGACTATGATGATGTTCATGAGCACTCCGCAGGACCTTGAGGGCGCCATGATCTTTGCCGATAGCTTGCTTAAGGATCCACACCTTGATAAACCACAGCTCTTGCCAGAGGTCAGAATAAACATCAAATGGTTGTGTTGTCTTTGATTTATGGTCATTGGACAGATTATGTATGATAAACTTATCAAAGGCCACTCGGATGGGGCCAGAGGACTCCCTGGTATACAGTGGTACTTTCTTGCAATATTATTTGCAGGGAACCAGTGGTAGGATCTTTCACTTCCTGCTGGAAGTCATCAACGTTTGCTGCATCGTAGTGTCAAATTATATTTTGATGTCGGACAGATTGATGCAAAGGTTTCAGAGAAAGCTTTATCTCAGATGTGGGCAGATGTTTTTGTGGTCGAATTTGATGCCAAGATATGATTGTCACAGTCCAGGTTTCTAAAAATGCAGCAACACCTTCTTTCTTCTGTTACATGTACAGGCGATGGACTTACTCATTACTGTATGTTGTGTTCCTAGGATTTGATTGGTCACGCTTTGGCAGAAGGGCAATATGATGCTCGTTCTCGTGTTCTAGCTCTGCATGTTGCGAGTTTGATGGGCGTCCAGGAGTCCGAGATCCAAAACTTTGAAGGAACAATTGTTAGCTCCTTCATTCAGGAAGAGGTTGAGGTGTCTGAGTGAGTTCAAGTAGCCATTATATGTAGTCACCATGGTAACCATGTATTGCATACCTGTACTGACTGCTTTTGTTGTCTTCACATGTAGGCTGTTTTGTTGGCTTTTTTTGATTTGAAAGTCTTAAAGTTTTTCAGTTGAGTCCTTGTGTTGTGGCTAGTACATATAGCTCTCTGAGAAAGATTCATTTCAAAAAAGGAGATCATTAATTGGCTTTGCTGTTCAAAAACAATCTCAGCTAGGATTATATATGTGACCTGCTTTGCAAAAAAGGGTAATGAGTAATTGGAGAGGGCAAAATTTTTTCAGAAATGTGATTTTGTGTTTTTCCTTTAATAACTTCTATAATATTTGTATTTTCAGAATTTGTGACGACAAACATGGATACTGATGAATAAAGATGAAAAATTGATCATTCATTAAGAAATCCTGTATAGCATTGTGTTTCCAAGTGCTACACTTTATGAGCTTTTTCTCGAAAAGTGCTTTTGTTGAATCCGAAAGTGTGGATATACAAATGTCTAAATACCTCCAGAGTGCAGTGCACTGCAGGGGTCATTCATATATCAAATTGTAGGTTTTGGTGTACAGAATCCAGCCATACCAAAAACTCATAACGTGAATCTGGCGACTTATTACCCATTTTTCCAGAGGCGGTCACATAAAAACCTACAACAGAACCAGTAGCTGCCTTGAGCAGAAGCAACCCCCCCCTGGTTGAAAGGTGCCATGTTGATGGGGAGTGTTCATTTTGTTGGGAGTGATGCGAACATAATGCATACATTTCCAAGTTATTTGTGGATCAGCGAAGAAAGTTAGCTCCGAGCAAAAGAGCCTCCTTTGCCGAGAAAATTGTGCCCTCTCTTGGCCAAGCTTGGGGTTCATATTATGTTTACATTGCCTTCGGAGCTACCGTTTTAATTAAATTTACTTCAATTTTGCCAACAGGGAAGAGAAGATTGAGAAAGAGAAACGAGCCAAGATGAAGAAAGTGAAGCGTTTTGCCATGATTGGAGCGGCGGCAGTAGGGGGCGGAGCTCTGATTGGTAAGGGTGTATTTCATGCCCCCAATGCCATGTTTTAAGTGGATGGTATTTTTAAATTTTGTTACATGTTGTTGACTCTAATGTAATTTGTACATTGTCCATGCTAAAGTGAAGTGATCTGTGCATTTTGTTCTGACAGGTTTGACGGGAGGACTTGCTGCGCCCTTGATTGCATCAGCAGGTGCAGCATTGCTGGGGGGCAGCGTGGGATTTCTGGGAACAGCTGCAGGTGTGGCAGTCATGGCATCTGTGTTTGGAGCAGCAGGGGCGGGGCTGACGGGTAAGGCAGGGGTGTTGCTTGTGCTTGATATGTAGCAATGATTCGTTGATTACTGGAGTGGGCCTGTCAGTCATGTAGGCTGGGCTAAGGTAATAGCATGGCTGATAGCTTATTTGAAGATGGGATTTATGAAGACTGCAATGGGCGTGATTGTCATGGCATCTGTGTTTGGAGCAGTAGGGTGGGGCCAGGGGCGTGGCTCATTTGTTTGGTGAGTGTATGACATGACTGTGTTAATATTAGGCACTGAAATGGGCGTGGCTGCTACGGCATCATTGTTTGTAAAATCTTGGGCTTGGTACTGCATTTTCCCTGTAACTGGATGTATCAAAGCATGTTGTGTCGTCCGACATCTTGTTAACGATTGAGAGTTTCAATCAGCAGCACCTTGCAAGCAAGTTCATTTATCTTGGCTCTCTCAGGTTTCAAGATGAAGAGGAGAGTTGGTGCCATCGAAGAGTTTGAATTTGAAGCTGTATCGTCAGAGAAGGATCTTCATGTTACCATTGCTGTGTCGGGATGGCTTACAAAAGACACTATGAGTATGTTGCATGCGTAATTCCTATCATGCTCACCAAATACTGAAATGTTGTCAACAGAGATAATCTTGGGAATAAGGAACATTGCTGTGAACATCTTATATGCTAGAAACCCATCTCATGTCTTCCTGAACTGCTTCTCTTGCGTCACTATCCAAAACGCATTCATCTTAATGTCACCAGCTATAGCATAAATAAATGGACACCGGCTATCTTGCATTTTTACATCCTTTCTGCCATGCTCCAAATATCATTGATCCCTGATTGGTTGCTTTGCTCATTTCTTTCATTTTCAATTTCTGTGCTTTCCAGAATATGAGGATATTCTTTACGGTAAGTACTTGTACCCAGTTATCTTGATTCATCTGAACTCCTCAACTTGGTTTCATTGTAGTGTTTTCTCAGAGGAAGCAAAGAATTGGGTTTTCAAAAGATACAGCACTCTGGACCTCTGCAGAGACTGCAGCTTTGTTGAATGGGCTGGGCGTGGCCAGTGTTACGGGGGATGATGCTGTAGGGTGTGTGCTATTTTTAGCAGAGGTGATATTTGGTTTAGCCCTCTCCTGATCTTAACCTGCATGGACTACAGATGTGTCAGGTTGCCCAGTATGTTGCATGGGGAGTTTGATGACATGTACATGTACGCTAGAGTGGGGACTGATTTGTACCCCCGTATATTTTTCTTTGTGCACCTGCTTGAAGTGTAGACTTGTCTGATTTTCGTAGATCTGATTTTTGCTTCATTGTTGTGCTGTAGTTGGCTGGGATTACTGCACGTTGCTTCCCAAAATGTGTTAGTGTGGGCCAGAGATATGCCGTCTGGGATGCATCGTCTATTGACTTGTTCAGAGAGAGTTTTGATATACATGCATAACTCACCACGGAGCCATGTGCAGGGGGGGATTATAACAACTTCAGACGGGAGGCCATTTTGTTCCAAAGTCTGCATGAAATGATTAATCATCCACATTTGATCTTCTCCAAGATGTCATACATGTATGCCCTTTCCTGACCCCACACTGATTCAGAACTAACATTTTGGAAACAAAGCACCATTCTGCATTCTGCACTTCGATCAGTTTTTTGGCCGCAACATCTTTTTGTTCCACTGTGAAGAACACTTGTGCATAAAAACCCTTGGGCAATCTCATCATTTCAGATAACTTCTCTGTCCCTTGGCTAACACTGGCGTCATCTAAGGAAGTGTACTGCCTCCGATGGGAGTCCAAGTACCTGTTAGCTCTCGGTGAAGCCTTGTCCATGATCCTCAATAAGATGCTGACGATGGCCGCCAAAGAAGCTCTCAAGATGACTGTCCTGGCTGGTCAGTTTGAAACTGTAACATGAAGAAGGCATTCTGGGATTGATGTGGGATCTCCTCGGAGTTGATGTAACCCCACAGATTAATAGCCAAGCATCCAGAAGTTTTGTAACAGCAGTGTCGTAACCAAAAAGAACACCGTTAGCCCCTGTCTTACAGGCAGTGTTTAAATCATTTCAGGGCACGTTTATCAACAGACTGACAGATCAGATTCAACTTTGTTTTGAATGTGTCAGCAGCCATCCTCTCACTTTAAAAAATGACTCTGCAATGAATTTGAAATTGTAAAACTGACAAAGAATTGGTTAGAACCTGGACTTCGTAACCTTTCTATCTGGGAATGGAAAAATATTCCATACAGCTCTTCGTGTTATCCAGGCAAACTGTCCCTGGTATCCTGCCCATTATCTTTTCAGGCCTAGTGGTTGCCTTTGCTCTGCCTGCCACTGCGTACTCCTCACTGGTCGCCATCGACAACCCGTGGAGCGTGGTGACCAATCGGGCGGCAGAAGCTGGGAAACAGCTGGCCGAGGTGTTGCTGTCGAGACATCAGGTGAAACAAAATAACCAGGAAACATGGTCTCAAGTACTCAAACTCAACATGCTTTTATGTTCATATGAAATTATTATTTGAACTCTCACTACTTTTGATAAACTTTCCATATTTTGTTTCCAGGGCAAGCGACCTGTGACCCTTATTGGATTCAGCATGGGAGCTCGACTTATCTTCTTTTGCCTCAAGGAATTAGCAAATAGAAAAGGTATATGACAGTTATATGGATGTGTCATGTGACGTTGTTAAAGACCTTGTCCGCTGTACAACACACATCTTCCTGGTTCTTTAATTTTTATCCTGGTTGGCTGAAATGCAAACACGTGTGCTTCACAAATATGGGCCAATACATGGATTTGGTGTCAGCATGACGTGACACATGCCTAGTCATTGCGTGCACATCAATGTTAGAGACTAGTGCCCAGTCAGGCACTTGTCTTGAAAATTTGTGACCAGCTATTGTGCCCTCTGGAGGTTGCTATTGCTCATTTTAAAACCTTGTTGAATTGAAACAGTTAAAACCCAGGAAGATTTCTTTTCCCAGTTGTATACAGTGGCTCAAACTTAGACTCTGTCTGTGAAAACTAAAATGAACCCTCACTTTGTGCAATTTTCGAATTGGTTTTGAAAGCTGAATTAAAACAATAAAACCCCTGAAAGAATATTTGTCTAGTTTGAGGTGTGCTATAAAACACTTATCTGGACTGGATTGGCATTTACATGTAATCACAATTACATGAACTGGATGCAACTTTTATGTGACTATGCTACATGTAGTTATATTAGCTGCTTTTTATTATATATTTTCCACAGTTAAATTGACCAGATATGAAATGTATTGGAGAATAAATGATTTACTTTTTGTTTGTATACTATTTGTTACTTCTTGGATTGCATTGACGGTAGATATTGAAGGGTCATGCGGTATGCTAATGGATTGTCTCAGAGCTATCTAATAGGGCAACACTTTCCAAACTACACTCGAGTTGGTAGTTACATCTTATGTTGTAAATTTTGAAGCCAAGACTGTTGTTTGTCTATGGCAGGCTGTGAGGGGATTATTCAAGATGCGGTCTTATTGGGTGCACCTGTGCCTTCCACAGCGAAATACTGGAAACCATTTGCTAGAGTTGTAGCTGGAAGAATCATCAATGGGTACTGCAGGTGAGCAATATTGTGAAGATGAAGAACAGAGACTAGAAAGCCAGGTTTTAGGGGGTGATATTGCTCGGGTTCCACCTTTCAGCCCCCAGTTCTAGTTGCAAAAATTCTTCAAAGGTTAACTCAAGTGACAACAGAGCCCTCTTTTTTAGCGAATCCTGGAGCATCCTTGAAAGATTTTGAAAAATCCATTATTCTCCAATTGTTATTCCTTTCTGCAAATCTGGGCGGTAAATTTGTCTTGTTCATTTCATTGGTCGCACCAAGAAGTGATGTAGAGGATCATTTTGGTGGACCATGAAGTGACGCATAATCCATAGACGATACTGACATTTATTTCATGACCTGTCCTCTGTGCCATAACCTTTGCTGCTCTGACTTGTGTTGCTTACAGAGGGGATTGGCTACTCCAGTTTGTGTACCGTGCAGCGTCAGTTCAGATGATTGATATCTCTGGACTGGAACCGGTTGCTTGGACAGACAGACGGATGGTCAATGTGGATCTGACTGAAATAGTGAGTATGCCGTGGCAGGGTTCATTGACTGAAGTTAGGCCAGTGTATTCACGTTGGGAATACAAGAACCCAAGAAATTCCTGCAGTAGTCACCCTCCCCATGTGAATATCAAGAAATGCAGCTGTCTAACTGCATTATTGATGACTGTACCACCCCTCCACCCCGTAATCGTCCTCCAAATGGCCAAAGAGGACTTAAGTCCTGGGATCCTTCATCAAGAAGATGGCTGACAAGTGGTTGCCCTGACATATTTCCAACAACTCCAGAGCAGGGGAACACTCCTAGGGATGAGTCAGTTTGACTATTTCACTATTCAAATATTTGATCTGTAATTCGATCGAATATTCGAATATTCGGTCGTACCAACTGGCAGATTGTTGATGAACAAACCATATACAAAGTCAGTTACAATAACACACACAGTTGTACATTATAGTCACTCTAATAGATTCTCCTGTCTAGGAATATCTCCAGCCATGATTTAGCAAGATTTAACAGGCAAACAGTACTTCTTCCCCTGTTGAAATGTTTCATTTTGTTAAAGATTTTTAATGAGTAATGTACTCATTAAATCAAAAGATATATTATTCTGTCGCTTTTCATTTGAATATGCTTCAAACAAGCCTCCATAGAGCAATTTTCCTCATTTTAAACAAAACAATATTCTTGCTTCCTTTTCATAAATTTTGAATTCAGATATTCAAATTGGGAAAAAGCTAATTGAATATTCGATTCTTGATCAAGTATTCGGACGCTCGGAACAGTTCTACACACCCCCCAAACAAAAGCCTGTGGTCCTCACTGTTTAGAGACTAAACTACTGTAAAGGCAATAGAGGGTTTGTATGGCTGCCATGTTGCAGGCCAGTGCTTTCCTTCCACAGGGTATACACAAAAGAGGTTTCCTTGTGGATCAAAACCACTGCCCTGCAAGATGGCTACCATGCAAAGCCTCTATAGAGTTAGGAGGAGTAGTTCTAATAAGAAGCAGTTAGGGTTTAGATCTGACTTCTTTACGGAGGAATAAGCACCAGAAACATTCCCTCTGTTTAGTACCAGACCAACCAAATGTGCCTGCTTAATCAACAATGTGCTGTTTTAATGCATGTTTTTGTCATGGAAATGGAATGGGCAATGTGCTGATCTCATCACTACCCCGCCCGCTCCAAAGCTCTTGCCTTTGTTGGAAGCTCCGACTCAAAAAGTTGCCCTTTCTCTATCTCTGATGTTAGGATTGCATTGTGGCTAATAAGGATTTGGGGATGAATTGAGTGAGGGTTGTGTTCAGTATGTCAGGGACATGTCCACCAAAATTACAAAATTACTGACCCACAATTACTCTAATATTAACTGAAACAAGTTCGTATTTTGGTATTTGCAGGTGAACGGCCATTTTGACTATGCTGACAAAATGGAGGAAATCCTTGCCCGCATTGGACTGCGGACAAAAAGTACTCCCATGTCACAAAATCTGACCAAAGTGACCAGCGTGGAAACTGGAAAGGTTGGTGGTCAAACGGACTCTTCTACTGATGAGCTGGAGACAGAGTTTGCTGTGATAGATGCAGGGGACTTGCTTCTGTCTGGAGAAGATCCACCAATCACACAAGCAGAAGCTCAAGGTAATGCTGTTGCAGAACTGGATGGAACTGGTCACGGCCAGTTGGAACCGGTTGAAGCCATTGCCAAGGAGGACAGTGCATTCTACAGCGGTTTGCACCTTACTGAGACAAAGACAGAGTTAGATTCCAAGATTTTGGAATGTGGGGCTCCATTGCCAACAGAGATTGCTGGAGAAGTGGTTGCCAGGTTTCAAGAATGTTCCATTACCCCCAAGGGGGTTTCATCATCTGATCAACTTCAAGATGTAGAAGTAGGTGAAGAAGCTCTGAGTTGAGTGAGGTTTCTGTTCAGTAAATAATAAGCTGAAGCCTTGACATGTTAATGAAAATCTTTGTCGACTATTGGCAAATGTTACAAGTTTTTATTTGCTCAGTGCAAGATATACTGTAAAGTCTTGATGATTTAAAGAGTTATTTGTAGCAGTGTATTCTGTGTATGAAAGTGCAAAGCGGCTTCTCCGCAGTTTTTAAAGAGTGTCTGATGAGGGCACGGATGTATTGTTGAAAGGAAGAAGGGAGTCAACCTAGTGTCATTGTATTAAAGAGTTTGAAATCAGTAAAGCATTGAAAACCTAATATTGATTGGTTTAAAACCTAATATTGCTTGGTTCCTGAACTAAAAAAAGCCTTAAATGTTACTCAAGCCAAAATGATACATTTTATTTTCATATCTAAATGGAAGCAGAATATTTAGAATATTTAGTTGTTTTTGATAATTTCCTTAATCTTAAGATGTAATACATGTATGTAAATGACATTTTTTTTCAGGAATGCTTTGCTTGTTTTTACGATGTTTTACAGACCGTGAAAAATAGCCTGAAATTAATAACAAAATGCAGCTTGCAATTGATGTTAGAGATAAATGTTTAATGAAAGACTTTGACTAAATGTTTCCGTATATTCGTAGTTTCCTGCTAATAAGCTCTTTGCAGGATACATGTACGTGCCAATCTTTTTTCAAGAGTTGAAAATAATTTTCTTACAATTTCACAATCAAGTAACATTTATCAGCTCAACATTTAGATATGTTTGCATGCTCAGCCAGCATTTATATGCTTGATTAATTCATCGACTAGATATTTTATTGTAGAAAGAAACCAAATTTCGCCATTTAGATTTCTTCACATTTGTGTGAAGCAGCTGTGATTTGTAAAGAATTCAGCATCCACTCCTGTCAATATATGCGCCTGTGAAAACAATTCATTCCAACACTAAGGTCACGAACAATGAGCTGGTAATTCTCTCTTGGAAGTCAAGCAATGTGATGCAAAAGCGCATGCGCGCTGCCAAAAGTATTATTTTTTGTGCAACATTTTGAAAGTAATATTTCTCAACTGCATGTAATTTTTACCGCTCAGGACTCAGAAGAGCGTCTTTGCTTGGTGGTATTTTGCTTCATTAAACTCCATTTATTTGAAGTTTAATTGATATTTTATTTTCTTTTTGTTAACTTTATATGTGTATTTTTCTTAGTTTTCATTCTTACAATGTTAATTGAAACGTTCATTGCGCAAAAATACAAAAAAATGCTCTTAGCCGATTTGAATTCAACTTGAAAGGCTAACGCCTTGTTGATGTTTATTTTCAGAATATATCAGAAAACTGCTTACTTTATAGAAAACCAAAAAATATTCATTTTTTTTGTTATTGTAATTGCATTTCTAAACCTGACCCCTTGCCAATACTGTACTTGTATTTTCTAAAAATATCTAAAAATCATCTGTTTAAGAAATTTGGCAAGGTTTACCCCTTTGCCTATATTGATTATGTAAAAAATCTTTAAAATCTTCTTATCAGCTTATTTTAATTAATTTGCCCAACCTGAAAAAGTTCCATTTTTGTTGATTTTGATTAAAACGGCAAGGTTTACGCGTTTGAAACGTAAATTTTTCAGAAAATCTTTTAAAAATTGCATTTTGGCTGATTTAATGAAAATGGTAAGATTTCTTTCTCCCCTTCAAATCTTAATTTTGGGAAGATCTTCATTTGGCTTTTTTTATAAATATTAGTTTTTCAGATAAAGAATGTTATTACCATTTTCCTTTTGGATTCAATTAGCAAATTTTTATTTTGCAGAAAATCGCAAGTATTGTTGGATTTCTATTGAATTTCAAGGCTTACCCCTTGCATAGCTCAAAAATGTTCATTTTGCCTGATTTAAAAAACTTGCAATTCTTTTTATTGAATTGGCAAGGCCAACCCCTCGGAAATCGTAATTTCTTGGAAAAGTTGAAAAAGATTCATTTTGGTTCATTTTAATTGAATTGACAAGGCTTACCCCTTGCAACTAAGAATTTTTCAGAAAATCTTAAAAATCTTCATTTTGGAGGATTTCAATGAAATTGGCAAGACTTACCCCCACAATACTGTAAACTATTAAAAAGCTCAAAAACTTTCATTTTCCTGATTTTAATTAAAATTGCAATTCTTTTTATCGATTGGCAAGGCTAACCCCTTGGAAATCATAATTTCTTGGAAATGCTGAAAAAGTTTCATTTTGGTTCATTTTAATTGAATTGAAAAGGCTTAGCCCTTGCTACTTAGAATTTTTCAGAAAATTTTAAAATCTTCATTTTAGAGGGTTTTATCGAAATTGGCAAGACTTACCCCTACAAAATTGTAAATTCTTAAAAAGCTCAAAAATTTTCATTTGCCTGATTTTAATTAAAATTTCAATTCTCTTGATTTAATTGGCAAGGCTAACCCCTTGGAAATCGTGATTTCTTGGAAAAGCTGAAAAAAATCA